CTTAGGGGTTGAGCAAAAAGTGGGAGTCCCGCTTTTTATTTTGGCCCTCGAAAGCTTATTACAGCGGTTTGGACTTACATGGTTGTCAAGGGGAGGGGGTTATGAAAAAAAGCGAGCCTGGCGATGGGATGGGGCGCTACTATCGTTTCAGTGACTAAATTTTTCATTTTATTTTAGTCACTTAATTATATATTTGACCAATCTCACTCACAACATTTATATATTTTATTCTTGATTGACTTGGGGACATGCTAGCTTTGTGAATGGCATCTATGACACTCAGCCTTTGCACTTGATCCAAGTGCTCTATATGTTCAGAATATTCTCATGCAGAATATTCTGGTTTTAGGGCGCACGGCATCACACGACAATCCAGCCAGGGCGCACCATTTCAGGGCACAGCAGCAGCAATCCAAGGCAAACAAGCATGGCGCAGCAATCCAGCATACTGCGAAAGCATCCTTCTTCGCGATGGTGGGATGAGGTAAGTGTTCTTGAGAGCAGGGGGCATGGCCACAAATTATGGTCATGCAAATACTGCCCAATGGTGAACAAACTGAGTGGTGTTGATCGTGTGTGAGCTCATCTATTAGGAGAAGGCCTAGGCAGCAAGGATATTGTGAGTTGTCCTCTCATCCCAGGTAATAAGAAAGCGGATCTACTCAATATGCAAAAGGTTATTGATTCCGAGAAAGGGGCAACGGGGAAGAAACGGCCGAATGAATCTGGTGGTGCTTCTATGAGAATGGATGGCAATGTCCAAGGATTTCCACCGGTGGTATCATCCCAGTCAAGTGGAAGTGGCTGCAGTTCCCTGTTTTTTAGTAAACAGAGTCAAGTCCATATTGTTGATTCGATGGATCCTGAGCGGAAGAACCGAGTTGATGTGGCTATCGGAAGATTTTTCTGGAATGAACACATTCCATTTGTCAAGGCTCGGTCACCTTACTTCCTCAACATGATACAGGAAGTTGCCAGGCATGGTGTGCCTTATGCACCACCAAAATATGATAATCTCCGGGATAAGCTTTTGGTGAAAGAGAAACGATTCATTGACATTGAGATGGCGTCCTTGAGGAAGCAGTGGGAGCAGAGGGGTGCAACCATATGCGCAGACGGGTGGGTAGATAGGAGGAATCGGCATATCATGGGGCTTGTGGCATATAGTCAAGGACAAGGAGCTTTTTTGAAGGCTATCGACATTTCCTTAACAGGAAAAACAGCTGAAAATACTCTGCACTGCTGGGAAGAAGGCATTAACATTGTAGGTGCAGAGAACATTGTCATGGTTGTGACCGATGGGGAAAATGCAAACAGAGCAGCAGCAGCACTTTTGCAACAGAGGTACCCGAAAATTCAATGGGCAGCATGTTTTGCCCATTGCTTGAACAATGCCTTGAAAGACTTCGGTGTACTTCCATGGATGGCAACACTTCTGGAGCGTGGAAAGTCTTTGGTGATCTTCGTTAGAAACCACTCTCATATAGTGGCACTGCTGGTGGAGTTTACTCACAAGCGATTGCTGCGTTATTGTGATACCAGGTTCGGCTACAACTTCATTATGATGGAGAGGCTGGTGGAGCTCCGAGAAGCTTTACAACAGATGTTCGTATGCCCTGCGTACAGAGCAAGGCCTGAGTCGAAGTCGAGAGCAGGAAGGGACAGTTATGCAACGGTTTTTGATGACAGTTTCTGGCAACAGGTTAAGGACATGCTAGAGGTGTCCAAGGATGTTATGCTGCTTCTTCGTGTTGTGGACAGTGATATACTTGCGATTGGAAAGATATATGAGTGCATGAACAGGTTGGATGCAAGTTTAGAGGAAGGACAGTCGGATTATGGCAGGTACAGGGAACTTCATCAGATCATGTCTAATAGGTGGCATAAGTATCACTCGCTCATGCACTCGGTGGCGTACATGTTGGACCCCGAGTTTCAGGAGTATGAAAAGCATGCTAACAGAGAGGTCATGAAGGACTGGAATGCTTATCTGCTGGCCATGTTTACATCCAGTGAGAGGGATGTGATACGTGATGAGCTTTTAACTTACCGGAGGATAGGAGGCATTTTCAACTCATATGATGCTAAGGCTGATCACACTAAGAGGGGAGCTGTACGTTGGTGGGAGGACTATGGTTATGAAACTCCAGCTCTTCAAAAGTTGGCCATTCGAGTTCTAAGTCAGGCATGCTCGTCGTCCTCGGTGGAGAGATTGTTCAGTACTTTCGAGCATGTTTCTTCAAAAAAGAGGAACAGACTTACCATGGACAGGACAGCGGATCTGGTTTTTGTGGCTTGCAACACCAGGTTGTTAACCTGCAAAAATGATCGTGATTACGACAAGTTTGTAAGCTACAAAGTCCTGGAGACAGTTCCTCATCCTGAAGACGAGCTTGAGTCAGGACAGGAAGAGGAAGATGGAGATGATGTCGAAGATCGTGAGGTCGAAGATCATGAGGTTGAAGATGACGATGAGATGCAGGATATTTGAGTAGTTTAAAAGTGTGAAGTAGTTTATGTGCAAATAAAAATATTAAGAATAATATAATAAAATATAGCATATTCCTATAATAATATAATAAGAAATAGAATATAATTTTTAAATAACATATTCTTAGAATATTCAGTAGAATATTTGTGAGCCATCGTGGGCCGTGATCGTGTTCCGTGTTCGGGTTCCTGAAATCTGAGGCTCGTGTTCGTGTTCCGTGTTCGTGTTCATAACTATGCTAAAGGTACTATTGATATATTAATTTGTCACACTAAAGCTATATTCATTCACCTTTGTCTTATGAGTAGTCTAAGACCACCTATACCATAGTTTCATCTCCCCAAAGATTAGGGCATCCAGTCGTCCCATAATCACACTTGAACATCATTAGAATGCTTAAAGATATGTGAAACACTTTTCCTCAATATCCTTTCTTTGATTCTTATTAAGTCTCTTTTCATCAAAGGTTGTACTTGCCAACTAAGTCCTATTGACCTCTGGGCCTTCCTTTCCATGTGACCATATCCTTGGTCATTACAGAAGAGGATTGTTCTTTTTCTTTTCTACAGTTTGAGACTTTGGGACAATATTTCGCAACACCATGGCCTAACACGAACTTTGTAAGTACTCTCTAAATGCTTTATCCATGTGGCTAAAGTAAAGTTTTAATGAGTCATGCCAAATATTCAAGTAGGCAATGCCACCCACACTTGGATTGGGAGCATTGACAATTTGATTTCCCAAGGGAGCTAAAATTAGGTTTTGAACACTTCATTAAATTATTCTACTTGTCTATCCATATTTACTCTAGCTTTGGACTCTTCAATAGTTATATAATCACTCACTATGTGAGTATAAGCTTTCCTAGTCACACTAACCTTTCCTGGTCAAATTAATTTTATTGGAATCCTCCCCTTATTATCCTTTTGGAACTTATTAAACCCCTTAGTGTTTGGGAGATAATTACTTTAGGCTTTCACCCTTGGACTTAAACTCGAACTCTGACTCAAACCCAATTCCAGTCCTAGTCTCGGTCTTGGTCCTGCTCTCGGCTCTAGTTTCGATCCCGATCTTAGTCTTGGTCTCGGACTTAATCTCGGTCCCTATTTTGGACTCTTTAGATTTGGTTCTGACACTTCTATGTGTCACAACACTTGTCATGTGTTAGTCCTACCAATGATATTAATGTACTTGTATCACCAACCCCACAAAGAAAATGACAGTTGACCACAAAGGACATGTCTGTATTTGTCACCAGCTGGCAACAAACATACATGTATCACCAACAAAGAACATGTGGCCTTCAATGTCTGTAGCTGGCAACAAACGTGCACGCCATCGTTTTGGTAGCCATCTGGATCATTTATAGAGGAAGTCAGTATTTGCTTACTTCCCTCCCTGTGTGTGCAAATTTCTGTGTGCAGAAGTGTGTGAAGGAAGAATAGATCCTAGTGTAACGTGATATGGCTGGGAGGTGTAATCAAGGAAAGGGTGAGATGGATGTAGAGGAAGCCAGTGATGAAATGGCTGCAGAAGAGAGCTCTGTGGTCACTCACGAAGAAGAGAAGTCTATTGCTGACGAAGAAAAAGGTGCAAGGTCTGTAACTGCAGTCGTGGTGGCAGGACTGGGGCTTGGATCTTCGGTTATCAACAGCATCCTGAATGGGCTGGGTTCAGTACAACGCAAGATTGTAATCTCGTTTGCCAACAATACTGGCCATCAGCTCACAGCTATAGGTGTATATTTCTTTTCTGGAACAGCTGACAATGGACTCCCTGGTGCTATTCCTGATAAATCCACACTCGGCTTTGGAGCTCGCAAGACAAGGGGTCCTGTGGCGAGAGGCACTGTTGGGGTTATCACTTATTATCTTTCAGCCGAAAATCGGACAGCCGCAATCATGTGGAGTGTCCCGTTTGACTACAACTTATATTCCAACTGGTGGAACTTTGAATTGCGAAATGGGAGAGTTTCCCCCTCAAGGAGCTTGTTCAACGATCTCTATTACACAGATTCTGCAATTAAGGGTGATAGCAACTTTGTCTCTCGCTTTACTAATGGACGGAAGTTTGAGGGGTCTATGGGACACTCTGGTACTCCAGTTCTGGATATAACACTACACTAAAATATTTTGAAGAGAAAGAGGAATATATCAACTACAAAAAATAAAAAATAAAAAACTGTATTAACTAAGTATAATATATAATATTTTATTAGGTAGTTTATTTTGCTCATCGGCAAGGGGAGGAGGCGTGGAGACTACTCACCGGTGGATTGGGAAGCCAACGACGTTGTAGAAGCATCCATTGACGGACTTGACGAGTGAGGCGCCCACGTCCTGCAAGGCATTGAATGAATTACGAAGGTGATAAGGAACCTGGATGCCGTAACAGCCAGCTTTGTCCATGGGCTCCCCGGTCGCGATGTATGCTGTGATGGTAGCCTCGTCCAGATTACCAAACTCCTTCAGTAAGAAGAGGGGAAAACTCGAGAGCTCGAGAGCACGCTAACTTATTTTACAGAAGTCTCCTCGTAGAATGATCTTAACAATGGTGCCTGTCCGAGCGCGAGATCGAGAAACCTGGATTGAAACGAGGGCCCGACAGAGATAGGGAAGCAAATCTAGAGAACCTGTGGCATGCGGCAGGAGAATCACAACTCCTGTGTAAACTTTGTGTTGTTGGCCGGTAGAAACTCCGTTTTTGTGTGAGTTGCAAAACGATAGACAGGCGTCTTTCACATTGCGAGGCTTCTCCACAATCATTCCCTGCACAGCGTCTCACGCCAGGGATGAGAAAAAGAAAAGACATTTCTTACGTGAAGCTCCACGACTGTGTCAGCTCCAACGATTAAATCCACGTTCCTCTGGCTCTCGAGCTGAAAAACGAAAGAACTCAACTAGAACCCCAGGAATAGTGACAAGATGACGCTTTTCTGTTCTTACTTGTATCAATCTCCTAGAAACTTCAATGGTTTTGTGAGTGGCGGTCTCCGCAGCATAATCTGTCACAGTGCTTGTAAGCAAAGCGCCACAAAAATATTTTCTCACATCAGCAGTGGCATATGCCGGATTCCCGGAGTCGCCATCGGCAGCAATTATGAACTGTTTCTTCAGGGTTTTCTCTAAGAAGTGTCAATCGTTGTGCCTCAATAGTGGCATGGATCATTTACCTGTGTCAAAAGTAATCAGTGCGTTTGCAGGTTTTGTCTGGAGTTGGAGAGTCTCATCGGGAGTGGAATGCTCCACAGAGCTCTGAAATTTGCCTGCCACTAAATATCTAGAGGAAGACGAGACGAGGTGGCTTCTCGCTCCGCCCCGTCTCGGTGCAAGAAGCTCTCTCAAAACTCTAGATGAGATGAAAGGAGGGTGGCCATGGCAAAAAAAATATTTATTTTTATTTTTATTTTTTGCTCAAATTCTCGTTTTTGTGTAGACGACTGGGCTCTTCCTCCTTTGCATTTTTCCCCAGCTCGCTCAATTCCCACAGAAAATCTCGTCGGGAATGCCCTACATACAGGATTCACAGTTCGCAGTGATCGGATCCAATCACTATCTGGATTACCTGTTTCGTGCTCCGCCGCCACCTTGGTGTCGCCCTGGGCATAGCCCCGCCATTGAAAGATCCGCTGCTCCAAGCCCCTGGCGCCATGGTGGCGCCGCTGGGGTCTGGCCGGCGCTCCCGTTTGCTATTATTCCAAGTGGTGGAACTTTGAAATTGCTAAATGGGAGAGTTTCCCCCTCAAGGAGCTTGTAGAACGATCTCTCTGCAATTAAGGGTAGATCCATGCCACTGTTGTTGCGACCTCGCAACCGTTGACACTACTTGATCTAATACCCTGAAGAAACAAAAAGAAGTTTAAGAAAGAAATGTAGTGGTTTTGCAAAACCTTGTCAGGTCCGATCGTCTTACATGAACTCCCGTGGCGAGCAACGTCGGCACACAAAGTTACACGGGAGTTGTGATCCTCCTGCCGCATGCCACAGGTTCTCTAGATTTGCTTCCCTATCTCTGTCGGGGCCTTGTTTCAATCAAGATTTCTAGATCCCACGCTTGGACAGCCACCATTGTTACGATCATTCTACGAGGAGACTGCTGTAACATAAGTTAGTTTGCTCTCGAGCTCTCAAGCTTTCCCCTCGACGGTGGAGTTTGGTAATCTGGACGAGGCTACCACCCATCGCGACCAGGGAGCCCATGGACAAAGCTGGCTCTTATGGCATCCAGGTTCCTTTGTCTTTTCATTCCTCGTCGCAGTTAATTCAATGCCGTGCAGGACGCGGGCGCCTCCGTCGTCGTCGTTGGCCACCGGTAAGTCTCTCTACACCCCCTCCCCTTGCGTAGATCTTCATACAATCAATGCGTTTGCAGGTTTTGTCTGGAGCTGGAGAGTCTCATCCGGAGTGGAATGCTCCGGGAGAAGAATCCAGCATCGACAGAGCTCTGAAATTTGCCTGCCACTAAATATCTAGAGACAGGCGAGACGAGGCAACCAGCTCTCTAAGGGTGTTGAAAGGGTGGCGATGCTATCCCTTTCGCCGGGGACGGGAGGGTTATTGTTTTTGCTCAATGGTTTTCTCGTTTTCGTGTAGACGAAAGATATCGTCTCTCGTCATGCATACAACGCCTCGTCGTCTGCTTCCAGGCGCTTGAATTCGTGGCCTGGCATTGGCTTTTTGGACTTGCTTGCAGCACACTGCAGAATCTTAGAGAAAGTCCACACCACGCAATAATGGAGAATATGGGCATGATTCTGTGCAAGACAAAAACAAGGATTCAGCTTCGGCAGCAGCAGCAGTAGGTAGCAACAGGAGCAGAGCAGAATCACAAGAGGAGTTGCCCACCGACTCCTTTTTACCACTCATTTCATGAAGAATTCAATCTTTCCCGTGATTTTTCTGATTTAAATCTTTTTTGTTTTCGAAAAAACAGAGGGAGAGAGAGAGAGAGAGAGAGAGAGAGAGAGAACACTTATTGTTTCAACATATCATCCGACGAACAAAACTGAAATTCTTCTTGCTGCTGCTTGCTGCCTCCTGCCTCTCTCGCCAAACATTTTTTTTTTTCCTCCTCCTCCTCCTTCCTTGCCTAGTCTCTTCTTGCGGCCGTGCGTTCAAGCTCAACAACGGTAAATTTATCCTCACCTACATATTGTGCTTCCATGCTGCTGCTGCTGCTATTTACACTGCCTGACTGACTGACTGGCGCGTTTGCCTCCCTGGCTCCCACTCCCAAGCTTTTTGTTTTTGCTCTCTTTGTCCTCACTCTCGCCACTAAATACACCGAAGTTATTCCCCTCCCTACTTTCCTGGAGAGCGAGCGAGCGAGCGAGCGAGTGAGAGAGCATTTGAATCCATCCTGAACACCACCACCATCCTTGCTGCTGCTTCCTTCTTCTTCAGCTTCCCTGATCGTCGTCGTCACCAATCAATCATCCTCCGTCAGTCCTCCAGTCCAAGTCCTCCTCTTCGTCGTCCTGCACTTAACTATTTTCTCTAGCTCTTTTTTTTTTTTCTTTTCTTTTCTTTTCTTTTGGCGTCTTCTTCTTCTTCCCCCCGTCCCGCAACACCGTCTACTAGCTAGCCGCCGATATGGTATCTGTTGTCTTGTCTGTGAGAGATCAAGTTTGAGTTGGCCGTCTCGTCGTCAGTTCTCATAGCTTGTTGACAGTGTGAGCGAGCTCTGGCTGGTGCTGATCGGTGGTGCCGACACCTGCGCATGCGGCTGCTGCTGCTGCTGCTGCTGCTGCTGCTGTGGCTGTTGCTGTGACGCGTTGGCAGCACCGTCCTCTTCGCCACCACCAGCGCCAGCGCCACCAGCGCCACTCCCGCACATCACCTGTTGCCCGCAGAGCATGTTAGACGAATCCAAACCGGTCTCGCCAATGCCGTGATGGCTGCAGTCGAACGAAACCATCATGTTGTTCTGGGTCGAGTCATTGCCAGCTCCACCTCTGGAGAAGTTAGAATCGGATATCGCCTCTTGTTGCTGCAAGAAACCGATTCACACGTAAGAATTTAAGCGTCCAACGCTGTAGACGAAGATACCAAAAGAAACAAGAGCTATACGTACGCCAGGGTAGAAGCTTGGGTTTTGCTCCGAGTTTCGGTAAGCGTTCCACACGGGTTGCATCTCCGTAGAATCAAACACGAGAGACTCTTTGTGCTCCTCCTCCTGCTGTGGGATCAAGTCCGCCTTCTCCTCCTTGTAGATTGTTGGCTGTGTCTCCATCTCCTCATAGTAGAGAGGGAACATCTTAGCCTCCGACATCATGGCTTGCTGCATCCCAAACGGGGACTTCAGCTGCTGGACTTGATTCATTCTCATCTGATTTGTATATGCTTGGGACATCGAGGAGCTGGGAGAGCTGGCATCTCCATTGTCCCTGCACAAAGGAGAACAAGAGCATTCGATTCGACTGACAGATAAACGTCACAAAATACCTTCTCTGGGGAAAGAAACTGAGCTCATTGTACTGCGAAGCACTGTCAGACCAAGAGGATGGAATCTGAACATCTCCCATCGACCCGTTAGGAGCCATCATAGGATACATCTATGAAAAACAAGTTACGATGAAAGAGAGAACAAAAAAAACGCAACGGAATGTCCAACGAACTACACACACCTGTTGCAGTTGACCATAAGGTACCACTTGGTTCTATAAATGGGAAAGGTTAAAATGGTGAAGACAGAAGCATAAAAACAAACGGGTACCTGCATCATGCCTCCCATACCATGGTTTTGCAGCTCTTGCTGTTGTCAGCAGCATGAGAAGTTTAGAAAGAGAAAATTACGGCAGAACACAGACCTTGCGTGTGCGTATCTTCTGTAGTGTAGATTTCAGGCACTCTTCGAGCTGCAAAAGCTCCTCGATCCCGAGACCTCCAATGTCGCCTTCGAAAAAACTGCAGTCAAGATTACACAAGTAAACAAAGCGACGAGCCGGAGAACTATAGCCGCCGTACCGCAATCTTGTGCGCAGAGCCTCGTTCTCAAACTGAATCTTGGAGACATCCCTGTAGTGAGCCTGAAGAGGCGCAGGTGTAGCAAGCACAGAGATGAGAATCATAAAACACTCACCACCAGGCTCTCGTAGTTTGAGTTGCTGCAACAGTGGAATTAGCAAAGCTGGATTGGAATTAAATTCATTAAATTAGGATTACCTTGTCTCCCCGTTAGTTATCTCAGATCCGCTTGGATAAGATCGTCGAATTTTGTTAATGATCTGTTACCGTGAACATACAGTTAAAACATCAATATCGCCAGTACACCGACTTACTTCTTCAGAGTCAAGCCGCCTACATGACAACAAAAGAAAACCACACGGAACAGCATTAGAGTCATAAAAGAATGCACGGAAGAAGGAGAGCTGCGAGAGACCTTTTTGTCCTTTCATTTTCAGGAAGGGAAATAAAGCGCAGGATTATCTCCTCAATCCTGTAGTTCAATCATTGCACATATAAAAAAGATCTTCAGAAACGAAAGACGATGGGAGGTGAATTGAGCAGCCAAAGGATAATCGATCGGGAAAGTAAGAAGGAAAAAGAAAACCGAGCAAAAAAGGTGAAGAAAACGAACCACAGGAGCCTCTCTCGCTTACCTCCCGTCATTGGGATGAATACTCAGCTTCCCAGCCGGAGAGAACATGATCAAGGCAACATCAGTGTCGCACAGCGTGGAGAGCTCGAAGGCTTTCTTCATCAGCCCATTCCTTCGCTTGGAGTAAGTCACCTGGCGTGCCTGGTGGTTCTCGATCTTTTTTATTTCCAGCTTCACCCGACCCATTGTTTCTGTTCTCTGGCAACCGTCAACCATTTGACATTAATGTCGTGCCCGTCAATTGAGAGCGCATCCGCTCGGTGAGTGAGCTGAACTTTTACCTTGGGATGGGCCTCTCCAATCTGGGACTCGACACACTGCAAACACAGCCATTGCTACGCTTGTATAAAGGCAAGAAAGGAAAAACGAAAAGAAAACGAGAGAAGGAAGGAAAAAAAGACACAGTACCTTACAAGATCTAAACTTGCAGTGCCGATCCAAGCCCCGATCAAAGCTCTCTCCTCCTCTAAGTTCTCCCCTATCCTGATTTTCCTGTCGCGATCCTTTTGGCGCGGGGCCCGTCTTCGGTGTTGCCAGGTGCGATCGCCGACCTGTCCTTGTTCCTAGAGCTAATCACTTCCAGGCAGTGTCAATGCGAGCTGTCCTCCTCCTCATCTTCCATGAGCAGCGCCGCAAGATCAAGAACTACAATCGCATGCCAGCCGCTCCAAGACGACTGCTGCTCATTGGCAGCGATCCCGCGCTCCCAATTCTGCCCGATTCGACCTTTCTTTTTCGATATTTCGGGCCTGCCAAGCATACAAGAGCCGAGCTGCTAGAGAATGACAAACCCCGGCATTGAAATATCGATTCTTGGCGGGGCGAATCCAGCGCCGGCGCGAGCGCCTCACACCGCCATAGCTGCCGCAGCTCGTGGAGGCGCGCGCGATCGATCTTCTTCCCGGGGCACGCTGCTGAGGTGTCGGCGCCTCGACCGGAAGAACACACACACAAGAGAAGAGAAAAAATGAGAGAGGAGAAAATTAATCGACCTACGCAGGCAAACCAAAGCAAAACCAAATGGGATGAAATGGAGAAAAAGCCCCCTCTTAAACCTTGGGGCCCCAAGGGCAGTCCTTAGCAAAGCCGCCCTGTGGAAATAGCCTTCCCCAATCAGGCGAGGCCACATCACTGACAATAGCTGCCCCCGTTTCTCACCGCGGTGTGAAAATGCCGGGTAAGACGGTAACCACCAGATTTTACCACGCCGGAGCCTGTGGGACCGGGTCGTCGACGGCGACTAAATTGGGAAAAAGCGGGGCCCACGTCAGCGTCTTTTGGGACGAAGGGGGCCATGCATGCATGCATGGAAAATTTGTTTTTACCGCGGCCGCAACGCTGGGCATCCCGCGGCCATCCAAGCGCCACCACGTCCATGTTAACCCCAGGTAAAAACCACCATGACCTCCATTCATCATCATCCACCATGGTAAACTCGGAGAAAGCAAGAAAGCGCCATAAATCTTACTAACATCAGTAAAAACTTAAAAGTGAAAAAAGCAAGGCTCTTGCATTGCTTTGTGTGTGTTTCTTTTGCCCCTTTCTTTACTTCTTTAGCCACCCTGGGGCTTTTAAATGCGACGCTAGAAGCGACCCAGTGGCTCCAGTTTTGCAGGATACCCGTTTGGAGCTCTCGTAGTAAGCAACTGGAACTGGAGCCCTCGCGCAAAAGCCCAGTACTGGCATTATTTGTGGCCACTGTAGTGCGTCACAGGCATCCTCCTGGCATCCAAAAAATTTAAGACTAGCATGATGTGTTGTGTGTGTGTGTGTGTGTGTGTGCGAGAGTAGTAGAATCAATCAACAGAAAATAAAAATTAAAGAAATTAAAGCCTGGTACGAGCAAAAGGCTCCAAACAAACGGGCCGGTTAGTGTGCATTACATTGCATCACCACCACCATAAACTTCCCACTTCGATTTCTGGTGGTTCAACAACGTAGCTCGCGCGTCACCTTTGTTTTTTTGTTTTTCTGTTCTGTAGAAACCAAGGAGGGAGAGAAAGATCGCATTAGTTATAGCACAAGCTTACGCTGCAGTGTACGAAGGAAAAGAGGGAGAGAGAAAAAGAGCCTGGTCGCTGTGTGCGCGGAGGACAATGCACGCCTCGACTCGATACTAGAGCCTCATCAGAGAACGAAGGAAACAAAACAATGGTCAAAAACAAGACTGACAAAGGAAATATTAACTTAGCCGCAGAAAGAATGAGGAGGAGAACTTTAACTTTGGCTTGTGCTTGGCCACGGCACGACTGTGCTGCTGCTACTCTCTGCAACGCAAAGAAACGAAAAGCAACACTCGTTAATCGAGACGCTGCAGGAGAAACAAAAGGCGGACGAGAAGAAAAAACGGACCTGTTATAAAATTTAAGTGTACAAGGTACACGGGTGACCGAGTGACCGAGTGAATAATACAGGCGGGTCGATCGTCTTCTCGAATCTCTGCGGTGGTTTCTCAGAAGGGGCTGACGAGTCGAGCCAATTGGAGCAGTATTTCAGGGACGAGTTGCTCCGAGACGACTGATTCGGGTGCATCTTCTCCCTCATAAATCAATGCCACGATGTGCTCTAGAAGCTCATCTCGGCCTCCACGCATTGGATCCTGAACCACAATTTCCGTTCGTTAGTCTCCAAAATAATGCACCGCTGTGGAGCCAGTGGCTGAGCACATTGCTGTAGCGAGCGAGTGCGTGAGCCAGAGGTGTGCAAAGATGAAAACACGAATTCGTGATCGACACTCTCAAGGATATAATGGACCTGGAAAGCGACCCACCTGTAAAAATAAATCGGTATGCGTCTTATGCGGGAAAAGCTTTGTTGTAACTTTCACTCCTGCTGCTCGCAGGGAGTCTGCGAATCGAACCCTGCACGTGCAGCCACGAGAAGAATAATATCAAAATCGGGCACTGACTCGCGAAAAGGTGTGAAACTAGCATCAAAATGACAGCATAAAGTACTCACGTCGCATGGTATGGAATAGAATAGTCGGCCGTTCCGTGGAAGAGCATGGCTGGTGGCAAAAGATGCATCCATGGCTGGAAATCCTTGCGTTTAACAACGAGCTCGGGTGAAAACCGAGGCAGAGACTCCTCGCCTTCCATAACGCTGTAAACAACAATTAGCTCTTTGTTCCAACTGATATCATTCCAAAACAAAATGCGCTAACCTTAAGAAGATTGACTTGTACAGTCCTCTCTGATGGAAATGGTCGACAAGTTCAAGCAAATTGTACCTGAAAGAATGAAAACGCCTTTAGCGCCAAATTATCGTGTTGAAATGGCTTACCCTCCAGAAATCCCGAAAAACATTTTGAACTGGGAGGGAGTCCACATCACCCTGGATCTCCCATTCAGCTTTTGCTTCTTTGCTTGGATTATTAGAGCGCAAGAAGAAAGGTGCGCACCTGCCGATTGACCGGCAAGAAAAAGTCTGTTCATAAGTTAGAAACAATCGTCGTAAAGCCAGCTGAGAGTACTCACTTGTTTGGGTCGCCTCCAAAGCTTGCTATGTTGTTACAAAAAAAAGACAATGCATTTCCTACATCTTCCACCATGTCGCTGATGGTACCCTGGGGAAAATTCCTAGATAAACAAAAGAAGTGAGGCCCCCAGGACTGTGGCGTATTCCCTTACCTATAGTCAATGCACGCAACTATAACATCTCTTTCGACAAGACGTTTTGCTAAAAGAGACCCCCATGCCTTGTACCTGAAATTCTCATGTAATTCAAGATAGACTAGAACAAGGCAACTTTACCCAATGATCCAAGCTCCGCCGGTCACAAATGCCACAGCTGGCATTGGCTTGTCCAAATTCTCTGGTAAGTACAAGTCCAACCTGCTCAGAGCAAATCTCTGTTGACAGCAAATTTTCAAAGTGGAGCGAAAGAAGCACCTGTTCCTTGGCTGATCTCCATAAACAATGCTTCGATGAACACAGGGAGAAGTAAAATAGTACCACCCAACTGATCAAAGCACACGAGCTTTTGGTTATGCCTAGTGCCTAGCTATGGTGAAGAAATGTTTTTCAAAAGTATCAAGCGCACTTACTTTGAATAAAGCCCGGCATGAGGAATAAAGCGTACAAGCCCAGTGCCATGAGCTTACACACCCATCGATATCCCACACTGGAGAAATAAGAAGACATTGAGAAAATCCAAAGAAGAAAAAGAAAGATCTCATCGTACCCGAGATATGAAAGGAGCTTGAAGCTGAGCTGCGTGATCAAGTAAGTTTCCGAGGCAGCGTGTTGGAAATCCGCTTTGAAAGAAGGCTGCTGCTCGATGGGAGTCCCCACAATCATCTCCGTGACAGCTCTTCTCGGCCCCCGGTGCCGCCGTCCAAATGAGGGCGCGTGAAGCGCCAACGCGGCATCCGCCGAGGCGCGCCGCGTGAGCTTCCCGCTTCCATGGTGATCCTCCCGCTCCAGCACAGCACAAGAATCGTCCTGCGAGCTCAACTCCGGCATTTCTTCACCCGGCGCACAGAGCATCTGGATCGATCAACGAGCTCGAAATATTTCGCTCTTACCAGCCAGATCGCTCGCCAGAGATCGCCGAAAACCGGGGATCCTTTGCGTGAGGAGCGATCGATCCCTGGCGCGCGAATGTAGCTACAGCCGAATCTTGCCCTGCCAGGATCTCTTTTCACCACTTGGAGCAACACAATAGCTAGGGCAAAGATATTATACCACAAGAGCAACACGTGTCCCACAAGGTTAGTTCCAAGTCAGCACGTCACATAGTACAAAATTCGCCCACCCCGTCAAGCCCGTCAAGCCCGTCGTTGCCTCTTGAGCCTCTCAAGAGCTCCCAGAGGTTCGTCTTTGTCCCTGTTGTTCTCCTTCCCGGCCTTTGGATTTGCCGGAGCCTTTCCATCGTCTTCTTTTCCTCCATTCTCGGCCTTGTGAGCCAATCCTCCAAACACCGCGTCGGGAACAGCCTTTTGGACGAGCTTCTCGCCAGTCTCGTCTTCCTCGTCGCTCTCCGGCAACTCTATCTCGTCCGGATTCTTTTTCGCGTCTCCGGGAGCAAGGATCCTCCCTTCGGCCGCCTGGACTCCAGCGCTCACAAATCCCAGCTGCCTCAAACCTTCTTTCAGCGTCGACGGAGGCTGCGTCTGACCGACCGGAGCAATCTGCCTTTCGAGAGCGGCCATTTCGTCCTCTGGAACCCCGGCGCGCTTCAGAGTGTCTACAGTTTCTTCCAGAGAGAGCCGTCCTTGATCTCGTTGCATCAAGTACTCCGGCATTATCATGTGCATCTGTTTGGAAAAGTTGATGAGCAAAGCCGGATTCTAGAGGAACGGGAGGAAGAAAACGAAAACTTGCCTGAGTGTAGCTGGCATGCACGCTACGTTTGATCCGGAGCATCTCCTTGAAAGTGTCGTGGTTTCCATGCGTAACCTCGAAGTCATGCCATTTCGACCAGACCTCGGTATCTGACCGTGGATCTGCCATTTGCGACGCGTAGATATAAATAGCACGAGCACGATCGATCTCTCCCAGCGTCCTCTCCAGCTCTGCAAACTTCAGACACATAAGCTTCGCGTCTTTGTCTGGAAGACCGGATTGAATAGCTTCCTGGAAGAAATAACAACACAAGAGAAGGTTAAGTCACGGCAAAGAAACTACGGGAAAGCAAAAAACGAATTTTTACCTCGTAGATATCCCGTGTCTTAGGAACGCCATATATCTCAGCTGCTCTGGCAATGTAGATGTCATAGACGCTCAGCTTTTCACCATCGAGAACTGCCTTAGTCGCCCGATCGTAGATTTTCATCGCGCGTTGCGCCAGTCCAAAGTCTTCTTCAAGCTTTGCATATTGTAGATAAACTGGTTTCGCATCCTCCGGAGTAACCTTCTCGATGGCCTGCTCAAACAAGTCCCTTGCTCTTTCCAGCTTCTTCCCACCGTAGCGTTGGACAAACTTCGTGAGATACGTTGTCCAGATATCCCGTGCATGAGGATACTTGAAAACCTGGACACCTTTCTCGTACACCCCAAACGCGTCCTCAAAGTACTTGTTCTCCTCCAGCATCGCCGCATAGTTGATGATAATCTGCGGCGTAGCTATCTTGTGCACCAGAATCTGATCGTAGACCTTTCGAGTAGACTCGAGAGTACCCAGGCTCTCTTCCAAATCCACGTAAGTCGACCACAGCTTGAGTGACCTGTAGAGCTTCATCTGAACGGGAAGATCACGGTCCCCTTGCATCAGCTTCTTCGTCGCGAAAGACGGCTCCATTGTCGCCTTCTTGAGGATGTCTCGAGCAGTTTTGTAGTTTTTGTGCTTCATCTCCATCTCGGCCCAGGCGCAGTACAGGCTCGCGAGGTCGTCCACTGTCTTGTAAATCTTCTGAACTGCTTTCTCAAACACCACCCGAGCGTTCTTCAAGTCGTTCTGCGACTCGTATAGGTGCGCGTAAGCTGTCCACAGGGAGTGATACTTCCCGACAGCTTTGAAGGGGTCCACAGTCATCACCGCCTCAGTGTAAGTTCTGACTTGGCGAGCAGGATTGTCCTTGAAAAGACTCGCTCGCTTGTGCCACTCATGGACGTTGTGGGGATTTTGCCTGAGCACCACGCTGCTAAGAAGCTCGGGCCTCCGCTCGATCAAGTACGAAAACCTCGCCAGGAGCAAGTCGACGTCGTTCTCATCAAACACCCAGAAATCCTTGAGATTGTCCTTCTTCCACTGCGCTAGAATCTTCCTCTCCCTCCTACGCTTCTTTAGCTCCTTTTCCGGCAGCGCCACCGTGTTCCCATCCGCATCCACTTCCACCATCTCCGACTCATCCAGTTCCTCCTCGGACTCCTCATCCTCCTCTCCCATCCGGCTCATCTTGGCAGAGAGCAAACTCTCCTCGAACTTGGAGTACGCATCGAAGATGAGGCTAAAGTCCCTGACCGTGGTGACCGTCGTCATCCCCTCCTCGTACACATCCCTGACTTTCTCGAACAGCGACAACCGCGCGTAGTAATCCGCCAAGGAAGTCCACAAGCGCCCGACCTCGTCCGTAAAGTTCCGGATACCACCCCGGATGATCGCATCCACCTGGAGCCCCGACACCTCGTGTGCATGCTTGGTGAGCAAATCGCAAAGCTCAAGCCATAGCTGGTGCCGCGTCTTGGACTTGACGGACTGGAAGCTCTGATCGTTGAGAACCTCGGCCAGGCGCTCGGCGGCCTCTTGCCACTTGCCGGAATCCATCAAGAACTCGATGAAGTCCTCCATGTGTGACGGCTCAAACTTGAGGAACCGCCGATGAACTCTAAATCCCGTCTCGCTGGGCACGCCGGGCTGCCTCACGAACCTGAGATAGAGCTCCCAGATCCTCTCGTGCTGCGTCACGGGCAGCGAGAAGAGCGCTCGATCGAACGTCCTCCTGGCCTTGGTGACATACCTCTGCTCGACCAGGGACTGGAGGTAGAGCAGCCAAATCCTGGGCATCTTGTGCATTGTGACGAGCGCGCGCTCGAAAGTGTTGTTGACGGATTCAAAGCTCGCGTGGCCCGGCGGGAGGCCGCGCACGGCCTCCATGCGCTCCAGGAGGTAGGAATGCCACAGCTTGTAGCTCCCGGGGAGGAACTTGAGCGCGCGCTCGTAGAGGATGATCCTCTTGCGGAAGGGGACATCAAACCTGGCTTGAATGTAGCGCCACCAGAGGCGCATGGAGTAGGAATTCCGGAGGATCTCCTCCTCGTACACCAGCTCCTCGTCCGTGGGGAGGAGGTCCGGATTCATCTCCGACAAGCTCTGCTGCTGCGCCATACCTGCGGAAGAACCCTAACCCTGGAATATACCCCAGATGCTTGATACCCTTTATCTTCGATCAAAAAGATTATAATTTTTATTTAGGTTTAATCGCCACTAGCACATCCTTTGCATCCACATGTCTGGCACTCCAAAACCTTGACCTCCCGATTGGTTCGAGGCACTCGACACACACAAGCCGTTCCGAAGTTAAAATTTGCCTTGTGTATACAGCTTGAGCAGCACAGCGTCTCAAACCCTTGGCGCTTCCAGTGCGTCATCAAGCTCCCATCCACAAGCTTGTACTCCACACAAAATTCATAGAGCTCACGCGAGATCGTTTTCTCCTTGTGGTAGAGATCAAAGATATAGCGGCTCCTCTGGTGATTGATCTTTGAGATCTCCCAAGAATCCTCACATCTCCTTTTATCCTCAATCGGATTGTTGACTACTTCCCGCATCCGAGTCTCAAAAGAATTGAGACGCTCCTCAATCTGCGACCATCCCTCCGGCTTCACGCTTGGCAACCTCATTTTCTAAAACCCTCGGGACATCAACCCATCTTTTATAGAGCACGCTTAAAAAGGTTTTACCTTTTTTTTAAGGTACAAATCGACGGTTAGGGGAATCGGACGCTAAACCCTCTCACCTCCTTCCACTTCCACCATCTCCGACTCATCCAGTTCCTCCTCGACAGAGCGGAGGCCCGAGCGTGGCGCTCAAGCAAAGATCCCCACAACGTCCATATGTTTATTATTTATCATTGCACTTTATATATAAATTAAATTGAAGAACTCGAGTCGATTCGAAACCAGGATCGATTAGGGTTTAGAGGAGGCCGCGAGAGACAGAGAGAGGGCGTGTGGCAGTGCCAAAGGGCTAGATCGCAGCGCCGCCTCGAGCGCGATGTTTCTCTTCGATTGGTTTTACAGCGTGTTGGCCACGCTCGGGCTGTGGCAGAAGGAGGCCAAGATTCTCTTCCTAGGTCTCGACAATGCGGGGAAAACAACGCTTCTCCACATGCTCAAGGACGAGGTGAGTGGTTTCCAGCTTACCCTAGATCTCCATCGCGTTCTGAGGCCGCCTCTCTTGCGCGCTCTTTTGGTTTTTTGTTTTCTTTTCTCGCAATTCTTCCAGAGATTGGTACAGCACCAGCCCACCCAGTATCCAACATCCGAGGAGCTAAGCATCAACAAGATCAAATTCAAGGCCTTCGATCTGGGGGGTCACCAGATCGCGCGACGCGTGTGGAAGGACTACTATGCCAAGGTTGGACACTCATCTGAGAATTCTTTTATGTGTTTGCCTTGGTTTTCTACTCAAACTCCTTGCTTGAATCGTTACTTGTTCTTTCTTATCAAATGCTCGTCCTGTTCGCTTCTCTAGCTCTTGATTCCGTCACTTGGTCTGGCTTTTTCGAATCCAATGCTTTGCCTTTGAAGCGATGCTTCGGCAAAAGTTCTTTTTGTTTTCTTGCCAGTGATGGTTTGACTGGACGACTTGTTCTAGATCTAGTTGCTAGCGATGTTTTGTCACAAACTCGCCAGATGATCTGACTGGATTCCATGGCTTGTTTACTTTGATCATCCAGGTGGACGGCATTGTTTACATAGTTGATGCGGCCGACCATGAGAGATTTCCCGAGGCGAAGAAGGAGCTGGATGCGCTCCTCTCGGACGACTCACTAGCGCAGGTCCCGTTCGTCATCCTTGGGAACAAGATCGATCTTCCATACGCGACCTCCGAGCAGGATCTACGCTACAAGCTTGGACTAAACAACTACACAACGGGCAAAGGCAAGGTGGAGCTGGGAGAGAATATGCGCCCCATTGAGGTGTTTATGTGCAGCGTTGTGAGGAAGATGGGCTATGGAGAGGCCTTCCGGTGGCTGTCGGACTATATCAAATGATGAAAATAAAGAGTATCATAGATATTCACGGCATTTTCCGTCCGGTATTTTCAGTCTGACTGACGGAATCTTCTTTTGCGCCTATATTTGAAATACGTTTTTGAGGGTTTAGCGTTGCGAGCAATGGCGTCGGTGACGAAGATCAAGGTCGTGCGCCGTGACCTCGCCAAGGCGCCATCGACGAGCGGATCGGCCGGAATTTCGGAGGATAAGGTGAGCAGCGGCTTCTCGATCGCGCATTTCATCGATTTGACTTGGTATCGGGCCACTTCCCTCTCGAAATATTTCGATTTCTTTCTTGCGCTGCCTAGGACGATGGTAAGCGCAAGCGGGAGAAATCGGGGGCAAGCTGCTTGGTAAAGATCACGATCAAGATGCAAGGATCGGCCGGCAAGCCAAAGGCTGATGAGGTGAGCAGACATGAATAGGTATCGAGGCATTTCTCTCCTCTCTGATTCCTTGCGCTGCCTAGGCCGATGAGTACCAGGCGAAGCTTGAGATCCTTGACTCGCCAGACAGCGCGGTAAAATTCCTTACTCTTGGAAGATGGATTGATCGAGCAGAAACTTCTTTTTGTAGGAGGACAACGACGACCAGAATCGCGAGTCGCGCCAGGGAAAGCTAGGTCTTCTTGAATCGGCAGACAGCGCGGTAAGATTTCCATTCTTCTTCTTCCTCGCGCAGTGAAATTGATCGCCAGAACCACGAGTCGCGCCAGGAAAAGCTTGAGACTTTGGATCTTCTTGAATCGGCAGACAGCGCGGTGAGATCTCCATTCTTGCTTCTTCTCGGACAGGAACTTTCTTTTGTGTAGGAGGACGGCAATCTTGAGTCGCTCCAGGAAAAGCTAGAGGCTTGGCATCGTCTTGAATCAGCAGACAGCGCGGTTAGATTTCCATCCTTGCTTCTTCCTCGGGCAAGAACTTTCTTTGGTGTAGGAGCCGGAGGAGGACAACCACGAGCTAGAGACTTCGGATCTACTTGAGTCGGCGGACAGTGCGGTGAGATTCCCATCTTCCTCGTGCAGTGAAATTGACCGAGGTGCGTAGGAGGACGAGGACGATGAAGATAGCGAGTCCCAGGAGGAGCCGAAGGCAAAAGATTATCTCGAGGTATGAGTAGCAAGCTTCGATCATCGATAGACCGGAGTTCACTGAAATATATCATGATGTAGGACAAAGAAGACCTCCAGGACGAGCCAGAATCCTCGGATTGTCCCGCATTACCAGATAGCACGGTATGAAAGTTTCTAGCGTTTTTACTCCATTGACTGATCAAGTCTATTGGACAAGGACGAGCACCACAACAAGCCCACGACCACGATGGACAATCTGACAAAGAAATCGTCCAAGACTTGCGTCAGTGAATGGTTTCGGGTGTTGAAGGTGTTTGTTTTTTCTCATTTAACTCTTGGATGACTTATGTTTTTCGATATATTTCTAGGAGTGCCAGCAGCAACCAGCAAAAACTTCTCCTGGCAAAAGCTCAAAAGAAGAGTCGGGATCATCGAGACCATACACCTATGATGGAAGAGGTGAATGGTACTTTTGGATGTAGGAGTAGTGACGTCTTACGGTGTCGAGCTCCACATCAACTGGTTTGCTTTACCAGCTTTTGTTCTCACTTACTCGGAAAATTCTCACAGATTACCCGCTTCTTGTTTCCTTTTTATAACCGGCTATGGTTAGACTCCTTGACTTTCATCCATTGCTCAGCAAGATCATTGAGCATTTGAAAGATCGAAATTCCTAGTTCTTTGTCCTTAGGGAGCGAAATGGGTTTCGTGAGTCTCAAGGGTTTGGTAACTCCGGAGGAGCGACGAAAGCTGGAAGATCCGAGACCTGGTCCCGTGGGCTTCCTGACTGGCTATGTATCAGCACTGATTGGCTACAGGTAAAACGAACGCCAAATCCTCCTCACAGAACACTTGATCACTGGAGACTTCAACGGCAAGCGGGATGGCGGTGCCATCTTCCTCTGTGGCCGCACGCCTTACGACATGTAGGAGATGGACGAGAACGACGGGCCTTACCTCCTCTTTGGCGTGCTCTTGTCCAGGGGGTTTCGTGTCACTTTTTACAGGTGGGAGCGCGATGGCTATGGCGACGAGGTGCGCAAGGACGTGTGCTATCCCGCCTTCAATTTCAACATACCGCACGAGGTTCGCGACGTGATCGGGCCGACCATCCGCGGAATGCTGAATGAAGTCATTCGGCATGATCGCACCGACGCTCGGAACAATCTCAAGGTGCTCAAGGCGGGAAAAGACGCCAGGATGATCCAGCCGCAGGAGTACGATCTGTTCGTGGACTATCCAGATCGTGATGTTATTCTGGTGTGAAGCTTGTGCTTGAGCAAGTTTGTGAAGTCATTTGGGTTCATTGCTGTGGCCTAGGGATCGCAAGGCTTTTCTCTCTCTCTCTACTTTGGCTGCTAGTTTGACGAAGGCAAGCCGCCTAGACGGGCACAACAAGCGCCGGCAACCGGATTCTCTCGCCAGTGAAAGTCCTCCATTAACTCAAGGTACGCATCGCTTGACATTCATGAGTTCTTGAGAGTGAGATGGAGAAGAGGAGATGGAGCAAGTCAAGGACGGGAAAGCCAAGTCTTTGCCCTTAAGGTAAAATACATCCCCTGGACTCCAATAAACTTTTAGGGCAAGCAGTGCCATCTTCCTCTCTGTTTTCTTGTTTTTTTTGTCATCCAACACGTAACTTCATCTCTGCTTGTGAAGTTTTGAATTTGGTAGCAGCTCAATTTTGTGAGGGAAAGCCTTGAAGATTTTAATAACTTCAAGCAATCGGTTTTCTAACAATTTTTCACAGGGGTCTATTTGGGTTGTTCTTTGATGTGTCACCAATGCCTGCCCTAGGAATTCAAATATTAGAACAGCATAGCCTGGTCTGAGGAGCCTAGTTTGCGCCTGCCTGTGCCTGACGAAGGATCACTGTCCCTAAAAAAGTACTTTAGCAGCCATAGTGCTGTAGAGCTTGAGAATGATGCCAGCCATGATGCTTTAGATATGACGAGAAGAACACCAAAATGTTGTTATTTTGACATGTATAGACAAAAACAACCATAACTCCTAGGATATGAAGCACCTCAGCTACCACTTTAGCTTGGAGATCAACAGCTTTCTAACAAGGCAAAGAACTACGGCATTCAGAAGATGCCATCACTGGAAACTCAGCACTACAAACTGGAAAAGAACAAAAAGTTGTACAGCAAATCTGGAGATCAAAACAAATACAAGAGCCTCAAAATGACTCAAAGGGAATTGTTGCAGTGAGAGTTTAAGATGCGCCTAGAGCATGAGTGGAGAGCTGGGCATTTAGGCATAGTTATGGATCCTCTATTCCCCAAGATACAACCTACAAAGTCCATCAAAAGCTACTTCAAAGAGTATCGGTGTAAAGACAGGACACATTGCACAATTGTGACCATTGCTGCTACCACCTAGAGATCAAATGTTTACTCTCACTCAACTCTTCATAAGCATCTTCCATGACTCGTTAGGTGTATGGTTGAATGGTGGCTATCACATTCTGGCCTCCTTTGAATTCAGTTGCTGAAAAGAAGAAGAATTTATCATTAAGACCAGTGAAAAGATTTCGCTCACCCAAGTTTTTATCTTCCACAAAGCCTAAAACTGATACCACTCGCGATATATAGACAAATAATGTAGATTTTCCCGTCAAATTGAAACACCATCATCTTCTCTGGGTGTGTAGTAACACCAAGCTGCTCCCAATCCATCAATGAAAGACACAGTTAGCATTAACCTATCCCATTAGCCAAGGCGCAGAGAAACAGGAGGTATGACCACTTGGACTGACCCAGTAGTGCTAAGTCAGTATGGTCAACCCCACTGTGGCCTACCGGATCGCTTGGTACCCAGGGGGCCCAAGGAGGCCCAATAGCATTTGTAAAATTTCTTCGTACCTGAATTTTGCAATTGCTACGTACAATTGTTATGTACTTTCTTTGTACCTAAACCCACTAAATTGTTATGAATTGTTTTTGCCTAAAATTATAGCAAGTACAATGGTAACCCTACAATCTCTTGGTCTTGCCTGAATGTTCTTTTTTCTCGAACGCTCTGCTTGTTTTACTGCATTGTTTGACTGGACGACTTTTCTAGATCTAGTTGCTAACCTTCAAGACGCAATCGACGGGTGGATCAGCGTGCAAGCCAAAGGTGGACGAGGTGAGCCATTTTGAAGCGGTATCGAGTGATTTCTTGCGCTGCCTAGTGCCTGGCGAAGCTTGAGATCCTTGAATCGGCAGACAGCGCAGTAAAATTCCTTATTCTTTTAAGATGGATTGATAGCAGGAACTTTCTTGTGTCTATGAGGACAACAACGACCAGAATCGCGAGTCGCACTAAGAAAAGGTAGAGACTTCGATCTTCTTCAACCGGTGGACAGCACGGTGAGATTTCCTCTTCCTCGTCCAGGAACTTTCTTTTGTGTAGGAGGACAACGACGACCAGAATCGTGAGCCAAGCTAGAGACTTCGGATTTTCTTGAACCGGCAAACAGCGTGGTAAGATTTCCATTTTTGCTTCAGTCAGGAACTTTCTTTTGTGTATAACAACGACGACCAGACTCGTGATTCGCACCAGGGAAAGCTAGAGGCTTCGGATCTTCATGAATCGGCACCATTCTTGTTGTTTCGAGAGAGTGATCGAGGTGCGTAGGAGGACAAGGGCGATCAAGATAGCGAGTCCCAGGAGGAGCCAAAGGAAAAAGATTATCTCAAGGTGAGTAGCATTCGATCATTGATAGACCCGAGTTTACTGAAATATAAATGACTTAGGACAAAGAGGATCTCCAGGACAAGCCAGAATCCTCCAATGTTCCCGCATTCCCAGAGAACATGGTACGAATGTTTCTCCATTTATTGTTATCGTGTCCATAGGAAAAGGAAGCGCAACTGGACGAGCCCACGACCACGAAGGACAGTCTGACAAAGAAAATGTGGAAGAACCGCGTCCATGACTGGTTCTGGATCATCGGAAGCGAGTCCCCAAAGGGAGAGTCCGTGGAAGAGTCGGGATCACGGAACCAAGATCCCGTAATGAAAGAGACGATTGGTTCTTCTGGCTGTAGAAGTTAGCGACGTCTTACGGTGGCGAGCTCCACGTCAAATTGTAGCATTACTCTCATGGATAAATCCTCACAGATTACTCGGTTGTAAATTTTGAGGTCTATGGCTTTCCTGACGTATAGTGTTTCCCAGCTAGCTCCCAAACAGGTTTTGTACTATGAGATCGTTCTTATTAGCGAGATCATTCTGGCTTGAGCATTTAAAAGTTTTTTAGGTCTCTACTTCCAATGTCGAAATGGTGGCCAGTCATCCTGGAAATGCGGGCGTTGTGCCATGTACGCTTTAACCTAGCCCAGTCGGTATAGAGTAGGAAGTATGGTTAATTCGGGAGAGCCTGAAAGAATGGCGCTTGCATCCCTTGGGTTGTTAGTAAATGGGTCGCTGACTCTTGACCACTTGGATCCCCCAGTAGTGCTAAGTTGGTATGGTCAACCACACCGTGGCCTACCGGATAGTGCTTGGTACCAGGAGGCCCGATGCCTTTTGTAAAAATTTCTTCCTCAAAAAGGTTAGTGATTCGTTTTTCCCTTGTCCATAGCGTGAAAGACGAAAAGGGTTTTTAGTCCCAAGGTTTATGCCAATGAGCGATGGCGATGGGAAAACGAGGCTGGCCTTCTGGCAACACATGGTGGCGGGCTCGCTCACGGGCATCATCGAGCACTCGGCAATGTTCCCGGTGGACACCGTCAAGATCCACGTCCAGATGACTCCATCGTCAAACTCTTCTCCCTGCTCGCGAGCCCTCTCGGGCGCTGTGCGATCCATCCTCAAGAGCGATGGCCCCGCGGGCTTCTACAGGGGCCTGGGCGCGGTGGCGATCGGCGCTGGGCCCTCGCACGCCCTCCACTTTGCGGTGTACGAGCTCGTTCGCGACCGGCTCGGGGGCAACGAGGACGAGCACCGGCGGCGCCACCACCGCGTGGCGGCGGACATGGCCGCGGGCGCCGCCGCCACCATCGCCGGCGACGCCCTCCACACGCCCATGGACGTGGTGACGTGGCGGCGTGTACGGCTGGAGGATCTTCCGTACCAAGGGTTCCTGGCGTTTTACGCGTCCTACGGCCCCTTCTCCGCCGTACAGTTCGCCACGTACGCGGCCGTCAAGAGGAGGATGCTGGACGCCGGGGAGCACCGGCGGGGGCGCTGGCCAGCGGGTTTACCACCCCGTTTGACGTGGTAAAAACGAGGCTCCAGTGCCAGGTAAAGATTTCGCTTTTCTCTTGTTGTTCATCTTGCTCATGTGATGGAATTTTCTTACCAGGGTGTTTGCGGTGCTGCGAAGTATGGGACGAATTCTATAGCTGCGGTTGCGCAACACATTGTTGCAAAGGAAGGCTGGGCGGCCTTGTTCAAGGAGGTGGTTCCTAGGGTTTTGTTGCATGGTCGACTTACGAGGCTGGGACGGCGTTTCTACGTACTTTGGACTCGTCCAAGAGCGTAAACCAATGATTTTGTTTTTGTTGAGAGGTGTATGCCATCGTCTAGTTATCTAGACTCATTACAATTTTTGTGAGATGCCTGTATCAAATTATTCATGTTGCAAAAAACGCTATTATATGTACACGAAGAAAATCAATCCTAGAAGAAGCACAAGCACAGCAACACAAAGAAGCCCACGAACAAGAGCATCTTGGACAAAAACCTCTCTTGCTCTTGCTGGGCACTTAACGCAGCATTAGCGGGATTACTCGTCCCATTCGCAGTAGCACCAGCACCGCCGCCGCTGCCTCCATTTCCTCCTCGGCTCCCACCGCCGGCTCCGCCGCCGCCACCATTCCCGCCACCGCCGCCAGAAACTCCCGCGCTCCCAAACCCGAGGTCGGGGAAGCCGTTGCTCGTGGCGGAGAAGCCAAAGAGGAATGGAAACAGTCCAAAGCCGAGCGTCACGTTTCCAAACTGCGTCGTCGCCGATGGCCCTGTGAAGAAACTAAAGCCCATTTGCTGGAACGCTCCTCCTCCGGAGTGAGAATTTTGCCTGTGCTGGTGTGGGAGATCGGTCCTCTGGCCGGGCGGGCGATTGGGGATATTTTCCACGCCCTTTTTGCGCGGATCGCTGGTGCCCTTGCCGCGGCCGTAGATCGGGATCACCTTGGCCTCCTCCACGGCGGATTTGCAGACGGGGCATTCTGTGCAGCTGGATCGCGAGGCGAGCCAGCGGTAGAGGCAGGGCCAGCAGAAGAGATGGCCGCAGTGCGTGACCACCGGATCCTGCGCGAGCTCCAGGCAGATGTTGCAATCGTAGCTACCTGATCCGCCATCGCTGCCGCCGGCGCTGGCGCCATTGCTGGTGGCGCCGCTGGGATCGCCGGTGCTGGAATCCATGCGAGAGGATCGATCGAGCAAGCCCTAGAAATATCGTGGACCAAATGGCTAGGGTTTTCTTCCTTTATCTTCTTTTGTGTTAAGTTTCCAATGACGAGGGCTTTCGTCGTTGTTTCTCACGGGGTTGGGGCGGTGTTTGCGCCAGGCGCTAAAGAGCGCTGGCGATGGAGCTCAAGGATCTCTTCGACGATCAAGGTATGGCATGGCGCCGCGCATTCTGATCCGGCTAGTTTGATATTCTCGGAATTCCTGGAATTCGGCTGAATTTTACGTGATTGATCGCGTGATTTTGTTGACATGCTTTTGTGTTGTCCCTTTCGCTAAAACTCTTGTCTTTCTTCTTTTTTTCCAGGCTATCTCGTCCTTGAGAATTTTGCTAGCGATGATGAGTGCTCGGGAATGATGAGCAGAATGGAGTTTCTGTTGGAAGGCTTTGATCCACAGACGATATCAGTCTTCTCGACTAAGAATCAGGCAAGACACCTTTCTTACTGTCTTTCTTTCCTCTTCATCTTTGGCGTTCCATTTTTATGAATTTCAGAAGGAGCGCACGGACAATTACTTCTTTGAAAGCGCGAATAACATCTCCTTCTTCTTCGAAGGTACGATAGCATTGCGATGCTATTCTCATGCGTGCTTGACTTGCAAAGCTCATTACCAGAGAAGGCGTTTGATCCCGAAGGGAAGCTCAAACAGCCCAAGTCTCTTTCGATTAACAAAGTCGGCCACGGTAAGTTTGTATCGCCGGTTGACCGCTGAACTCAGGATTTGTCTTTGCAGCTTTGCATGAACTCGATCCAGTCTTCAAAAGTTTTACAGATTCCAAGAAAGTAGGAGCATTACTAGAGCTTTTGGGATATAAAAAACCCGTGTTGATGCAGTCCATGTACATCTTCAAGGTAATACATTGTTGCTCCTATTTATTTTCCTTACAGTTTTCATGATCCAGCAACCGGGAATCGGTGGCGAAGTTGTTCCTCATCAGGATAATTCTTTTCTCTACACGGATCCACCATCCTGCACGGGGCTTTGGCTGGCATTGGAGGACGCAAACAAATCAAACGGCTGCTTGTGGGTGCTGCCAAAGTCTCACAGAGGTACTTACTGACAAAAAGAAATTCCGGTTCTAAACAAGTCCATTATCGCTAGATGGAGTTGCGAGGAAGTTTTTGCGAGACGAGAACGGGGTCAAGTTTGACAAATCTCCCCCAACTTATGAAATGTCTCAGTTCATCCCCGTTGAAGTGAAAGCGGGCTCGCTAGTCGTAATTCATGGCAACCTTGTGCATCAAAGGTACGTGTCGACATTTCCAAACTCATTTTTGTCGTTGACAAATGAGGCAAGCAGCTTTGAGAACAAATCTAGCAAATCCAGGCACGCATACTCTGTCCACGTTGTGGAGAGTGAGGACTGCGTTTGGTCCAGTGACAACTGGTACGCAAAGCTTTACTTTTGTTCTTTTCTTAACTTTTTCCGATAGGATTCGGAAGAAAAACCTTGGCTGATCAAAGGTACAGGAGTTCCAGTTTCGCAAATCCTATCGTAGAGAATAGAGAAAACACTACTTTTTATACCATCTTGTTGAGATACTGGACAAGACCATCGAAATCCACTGCATGTCCGAAATTGTGTATCGTCTCACGTAGCCATTTCGTGCGGTGGCCAAATTCTCTCAAAGTTTCTTGCAAAACTATACAAAGGGATCATAAGTCGCCTACGCATCCTCCACAGTTCGAGACAGTAAGTTAACAACTATTTCACCTCCACGTAAAAAAATTCGTTCCCAAAAAAGAAATAGAATTACTTTTTCTTACGTGCCTGCTCGACTCATGGAAATTGCTCCTCCATTAACAGCAACACCTTTCCCTTTCCCGCCCAGCATCCGCCTCACCGAAACGAGGGGGTCCATCTTCTCTCACAAGAAAAGCAACCGTTATACAAAAGAAAAAAGAGAAAACAATCTCGCAGTACTCACCTTATTGACAGCGGCAGCCTTGTCTCTATCACTCACAACGCCGGAATTCGCATTCGTCGCGGCGCAAGAGAAGATAGCGTCGATCGTCATCTGCCAGCCACACTTTCCTGACTGATCTGCCGCATTCGAACTTATCCAAGGACAAAAGTAGCGATGGTGATGGACGGGATCGAATTCGCTCGGGCTGCCTGTCACAGGTCACAGAATCGTGACGCATAACCAACGAGAAAACGAGGAGCATCTAACGTACCACTGAAAATCGCGGCTTCCTTTGCAACTTCCTGGCTCGCGGCCTTCTCTCGGCTCAGTACTGTGTCCTGCTCCTCGTCGCTTCCTTGTGGAGAGCACTCCACACTCTCGGCAGAGTTTTCGTGCCTGTTGTGGTTATACGACGTCTCCACCGCGTTCACGGACGAGCTGCCCGGCAAGCCGTCCACGGCTTTCAGTTTCTTCCTGTGTGCCGACTCCAAATCACGTTTTCTCTTGCTGCCCGACCTGTCCTGTACCGTTGTTTTCTCGGCCGGCTCTTGCTCCAGAGTCGACTTTCTCGGTTGGAAGTCATCATGCCGCTGACTGTTGAGCCCCGGAATGGGAATGGAGGCCGGAGAGGGTGCTGAGAGTCGCGTTGGTCGTGGACCTCCGGCTATAGTAAGAGTGAGATCGAGACCCGGGTTTTTCTTTGAATCGTCGACCGCAGCGGCGTCGTTGTCTTTGGAGATCGTGGCTTCTGCGTTGACAGTGTCGATGTTTTCGGCTGCGTTGTCGTCAACGTGTGCATTGACATCACCGGCGGGGAGGACTTCAACGTTCTTCTTCGCGGATGCTTCGATGGTTGACAAGATTGCCGTGATGGAGAGCGAAGAACGGCTCAAAGTCCGGAACCTCCACAGCCCAACGCTTGCCTTGCACAGACGACACTCCAAAACTGCTGAGCAGGGATCGCTGCCTGTTGCAAGAGAAACCCTGAGCTCGTGAGAATCCACATTGGAGTCGTGACTATCAACAGCGTAAGGAAGAAGCCGCACCTCCCATCCACAGAGACTTATAAGCTTTTGGGCCTGTAAGTTATAGCAAATGATCAGACCTTGACAAGAAAAACTACAGCTTTACCAACCTGTAGAAACGCCTCGTATGTTTGTCGCAGCTTTTGCACAGCCTCTCCTTGTGCAGCTTCTAACTCTCGGACTGTAGCATCATTCGAAGGCAACGCCAGCAAACTTGCAACTTGATCCCCTCTCGAGATCTTCATGCGCTCGACAGTCGAAGAGGAAATCACTGGAAGGTCAGAGAGAAGTGCCACGGATTGCAAGCGTGCTTCGTATGCTTGAACTAAAACCGGAGCAGGAGTTGGCGGAAAAGCTGCAAGATCTTCGCCACAGCCATTTCCTTTCCACGGACAAGATGTTTTGTGGCCATCGTGAAGCTTTCGCGAAAACTCCAGCCCCGCCGTTTCAACTGGCATTCAATCAAGGAAATAAGATGACGGTCTCTAGTCACAAAGAAAAGTACCTTCCTTCTTCGACCATGTCGCTGGAAAGGAGAAACTTAGACGCGATCCACAGACCTCGCAGCAGAGCAAATCCATATCGACATTGATCCATCCTCTTCGTGCACAAGCAACAGGGCCCGCTGCCTGATAGCATGAGTGAGATGAGAAAGAGAAGCAGGAGTTCTTCTCACTTACCGATGGTTTTCCAAACCAGCTCACGGATTTAAAGGTCCCCAGGCGCCGCAACAAATCCTCCCGATCCCATGGCCGGCAGCTCGGCGTGGAACTGGACGCTATTTCTCCAGCATTCTTCTCTCCGGCATTCTTCTCACCGGGACTTCTCTCAAGCGCGAGAGGCGTGACGACCCGGCGCTCCAAAATGCTCTTTGTTGGTGGAGACGAGGAGCTTCTCAAAACATAAAACGAAATCTAAGCTACGAATCGAGCCACGAATACTGCGAGACATTACCATGAAGACGCCGCCTGGATCGGCGACGAGAAGATCCTGTCCATCGCTCGCTGAATGCGCTGCTCGGCATCGTCGTCCTTGTCGCCGCTCGTCATCCCGAGTGAAAGCCCTAGATCATTATTTCTCTCAAGAACCCTAAAGAGTTTGGGAAGGACAAGGGAAAAACCCTAGGAAGGAAGCGCACAGCGGCGCCATTGTGTTTGAGCGGTCGATCGTTTGGCGATGGCGGGGCCTGCGGGGGGTCCATACTCCGGGACGAGCACGCTGGCTATGGTGAGCGCCTCCATCTCTCGCCCAGATTGAGCTCGTTTGATCGGGTTTGTTTCGTGGATCTTAGGTCGCCAGAGTTTCTGCGTTCTCATTTGGGCTTGTCTATGGTGCGATGAAGTTAAGTTACTTGAAGGTAATCTTTGCGATCCCACTTTTTCTTGCTTGTTCCATAGATTCTAAGCTCGGTTTTCTTTATTGTTTCTTCGTAGGCAAAGGCTCGATCGGAGCAGAGAGCCGCCGCCAAAATGGCACACTGAGACGGAGAGAACTTTCCACAGCCACCTTCCATTTCAGCCCTCGGGGACTCTTTTGATAAACCTTGGAATGGTATGGTTCATTTTTCCGCAATAGCAGCAGCTAGCAACGAATTTTTCCCCCGAGGATTCTAATCTCTTCTTTTTGGATCATTTGGATCAAAGAATAAGCTCCTGGAGAGTCTTTTTTTCCGAAGAAGTTTTGCTCTTGCGCTGGGCTTTGATGACACAGAAACATTTCTCGATGCTGAGAGGAAAAAAAATATCCCTGCTGAGAAATCGTGCGTAGTGTCTGATGCCCAGGACCCAGGACTTAAGGGTTTTAGGGCACATGGATGGCCCATGGATGTAGCCATGCATGTAGCCACGATGGGGCCATATCCACTTGCGCAAGTTGCCTGATATTGACGTGACAGTGATGTGGGATCCGCATGCATGCCAATGGATGCGTAGGTATGCGCATATATGACAGGCCACAAGTGGGCACATGGGGCCGCTAGAGGATGGCTCGCCGAGCTTGCCTGTGACGAGCAAGTGAGGCACCAGGAATTGGAAGTAAGCGCGCTGTAACTCTTTTTTTTCTTGTTTGTAAAGGTTTTTTGTTCTTATATTTTCCTGTAGTTCGCGATTTTATTCTATCCGTGGGGCTGCAGACAAGCATTTTTATACCCATTACTATTTACAATATCATGCTTTTTTCCCGCCTTTTGCAACTTGCTTCTGCCGCCAAGGAAAATCTTAAAACGCTCCGCTGACGCAGCTTGGTGTTAAATTTTTCCGCCATGGCAATGATAATGTAATGAGCCGAAGGCGGTGTTCAACGAATTCTCGTACGGAGGTGGTGGTCTCTTGTGGACAAGGCGCGGCTTTTTGGATCGGGAAATCAAAGGGCAACTTGGTGTGTACGGTAGGGCGACATGTCGCACGTGCGATCCTACATTCGCTGCTACCAACGTTTGCCTAGTGGATGACGTACGGCGGGCATCAAATAGTATATCCGGTGGATGGCATGGTTGCATGACATGGCATGGCATGGCATGGGCATCATAGGTATGGGCCCATCAATGGGATCTCCTCCTATGGTTACTTACACCCTCCTCGTCGCTGTGGTCCGGCTGTGTTCTAGGTAGAGCTGCGCTCCCCTCCCTTCTCGATCATTGGCGCAGGGCTGGAATCGCGAGCGCCGAGCGCCTCACGATTTCTATCTGCTCAATCCGCCGGTGAGAAGCGCGGGTCCTCCTCCTCTGCAGGGATCCCCGCGGTGGAAATCCCGCTGCCGTGGCCGGAAATTCCCCTCGCATTGGGGCTTGCGGGGCTCGTCCGAGGCGGCGCTGGCGAAATCCGGCATGGGAGCGCGGGCGTGAGAGTGCGCGCGCGATCGGTCGATATTTCGGGCGGCGAGGGAGCGGCAGCGCTGGATGCAATGTGCAGGGTAAGCGTGAGCGGGCGAATCTTGGCGCTCTCTTTCTCTTGATCCAAGATCCCTCTTCTTGTTCTTGGATCCAAAAGAGAAATCAGAGAGAAAGAGATAGAGCGCGATGCTGATGAAATCCTGTGTGCAGCAAGGAGGGAACCACGACGCATTCGGGCGGTTCGAGCAAGATCACGACGACGGGGATCGGCACCGGGGCCAGCGCCTGCGCGAGCGGCGGCGGCGGCGCCACGGCGGCGGCGCAGCGGAGGAAGCGGCGATGGGGCCTTCCGAGGAGGATGGATTGCACAGCCAGGTGTGGCGGTGGATGTACCAGCTGACGGACGAGGAGGTGGAGAAGCTGCCCGAGGAGGTGTGGGAGTACCACCGCGCGCGCAGCGGCGGCGCGGGCATCGGGCCCAACGAGTGCTGCTCGGTGCTGATCCAGCGCGTGAGGGCGCCGCTGCCGGTGGTCTGGTCGGTGGTGCGCCGCTTCGACAAGCCCCAGCTCTACAAGAACTTCATCCGGAGCTGCAGCTTCAAGGGAGACGAGTTGAGGGTGGGGTGTACGCGCGAGGTGACCGTCGTCTCGGGCCTGCCCGCCACCTCCAGCACCGAGAGGCTGGAGATCCTGGACGATGACAAGCACGTCTTGAGCTTCCGGGTGGTGGGCGGGGATCACCGGCTCAACAACTATCGCTCGGTGACTAGCTTGCACGAGTTCGACGTTGAGGGGGCCAAGGGGACGCTGGTGGTGGAGTCGTATGTGGTGGACGTGCCGCCCGGGAACACGAGGCAGGATACTTGCTTGTTCACGGACACGGTGGTGCGATGCAACCTCCAGAGCCTGGCACACATGACGGAGAAGCTGGCGGTGGCTTGTGCTAGCGAGCAGCATCGCCAGCTCCATCAAGCAAGGTGAAACTTTGCTCCTTCGTTGTGGTTTTTGTTTTTTTTTTTCCCTCTCTTTCTCCCTCTTTTGGTTTTGGGCCTCTCGTCGCCTTTTTATTTTTTTCTCAGTTTATTTGGAGAGGTGGTTCTCGCTTTCTTTTCTTGCTTCCCCTTTTTCGCTGTCTTTTAAGAGAATCCTGCTACTTCTGCTGCTGCCGCTGCTGCTGCTGCGCGTTGTCTTTACTTCTCTACTTTCTCTTTTGAGGGGACACTCCTTAAACTCTTTCTCAAGGTCTCGGCAAGACGAACACGGGAAGAAGAAAGACAAAGAAGACGAAGCAAACGAAACACACACACGCGATGAACTGCTCAGGCGATTACTGTTTAAGAGCTCAACCACATCTTATCTCTCTATTTCTTCCTTGCATGCTGTATTTATCATGGTGTGGCAATGGCAATACATGATGCTCTCCGTTTTTTAAGTTTTTCTTTGCAGCCTCAGTGATTCGGGCAGGACTGGTCGATCGATAGCTAGCTCTCAAACAAAACAGCGCAGGGGGCAGCGTTATCACTGGCAGCAGTCTCAGAAATAAAACGAACGGCATGCCCCGCTAGAGGATGGGGGCGGCGTGGAAATGATCGACACCATTTAGGTGGAATGGGACAATCCAGCTTTGGTACTGTACAACGGAATTTGGCCTATAGCCAGGTTTTGATATCTCGCAGCATGGCTCATGGCATATGGGAAAGTTAACTTACGCCCAACATTAGCAGCCACTCACCTCGAGGAGAATGAGAGCTTCATCCGCCCAAGGGGTTGGTCTGGAGGCTCTGGAGAAAGCTTGTTCCATTGCACAGCTTCGTGGTAAGCACAATCACGTCATGTTTCATCGATTCCTGGAGGAATATTTGTCTCCAGCACGTTAGGAACAGAAACGTTCTTCTAGAGAAAGGGTGAGACATACCTGAGAGCTCAGGAATCGCAGGGCTGATATCTCGGCAAAGGTTACTCCGCCAATGAAAACCACCAGCACCAGTGCTCGGCGACCGTCCACGCTACAATCAAATCGTTTTGTCGGTGTTAAAGCTCAAGATTTGGTTTCTCTTTTCTCAGCTTACTTGTTCGCGAGGTCGGTTAAGTTGTTCGCTGATGGCATTCTTTGATGTCCTGTTGTTAAGTTGGTCAAAGACGGTGGTCTGTGAGAGAAGCTACTTCTTCTTTGCTGCTGTGATCCCTATAAAACGAACTTTTCTTTTCCTTTTCTCTTTTAAATTTAGCTCGGTTCTTTACCTGTCGTTCTTCGAAAGTCGCTCCAGGAAGCAGCTTCATCATATCCTCAATCCCTCGCCTGCAGCGAGTGGATAAGAGTGAAATAGTCAAACAGCAGTGTTTAGCTTAGGCACCAAACTTACTCACCAGCCACTAGCATGCAGTGCATGTTGTACCAGTCTAATGCTCAGAGGAGCATAGCCCGAGAATGCGTAGGAGATATCCTTTGGACTAAAAACACACAGAGTTGGTCAAAACACGAGTTGCCTATTCCTGAAAACTCTGTTACTTTGAGTCGTCCGTATCGCTCACCACCAATCTGAGACCCCGTTTCAGAGTCAGCCAATTGCTCTTTGATTCCTTCACAAGCGGGGAAAAAGCATTACCGCATAAGATCCTGACATCCCAACGACATCATACCTGCTTTCGCAAAAGCCCCGCCCTTTCCAAGTCGTTGATAAAAAATAAATTTTCCCAGCCATAGCTTTGAAGAAGCTCCCTTCTGCCCAAGACGAGACCCATTCAAGCATGTCAAGCCGATAGAAGAGAAAGGGACACGAACCGGAAGTAATCAAAATGCTTCTTCTGTAAGCCATTGTTCGTTACTGAGAGAATGACGAGCAGTCTCAGAACGCTAATCAGTGGCTCCTGCTTGTTGATCATCTCTTCGATATACTCATAACAACTGATTCAGAAAGTGCTAGTGTCAGACTGAAAAAATATAACAGCCTTATAACGTACATATCATATTCCTGACCTTCAACGAGAGTCTGCTCCATGATCAATCGGCTCATGAACGAGCGCTTCCTGGTAAACGTGGTCAAATATTGAGAAATATCAATGTGTCGCTGAAAGGATAGCATCAACACTTTGTTGTTTGCAAAGTACGATCTCACCGTCATCTCCGGAAGTGCATGCATCTTTTTGACAAACTTCTTGAGGTCTGAGAATTCTTGGTTCTGGACAAAAATGTTAGGCACGGTAATTAAAAACGAGGTGCTACACTTACAGTAGTTTTAACATCCGTATAATCTTGCTTCATGCTAGCTGCTTTTTCACGTAAAATCTGAAGACCAGGCTCGGAATTCATGACCGCAAAAACAAAAACAACAGGAATTACCCCTCCCACAACTCCAAAGTTGAGATCACGTAGATCTCTATATAATTTGTCACTGCAAAAAGAAAAGAAAAAAAATATAAGTGCATTCCACAAGTTGGATCATTTAATAACCTTGAGTTCAGTGGAACCTTCACCTTCTTGTCCCCACCCAAAATTGCAGGATCCAGCTCAACACAACCGTTGTTTATGTTTAAAAACTGAAATAAATATACTCATAGATGTTGCCAGAATAGCATGTTCTTACCTCGTCGACAAGACCCTCGTAGGTCAGCTGAGAGCACATCGGAGTTACAAGGTCCACCTAATGGACAGCTTTCGGTCAGATTTCAGATAAGCATGCTGGTACCTGTCTGTCGAGAAGGATTAGTGTGTCGATTTCCGGTTGTCCTTCCTGAAAAACAAAGCACTTGTGAAACTCTATCAAGAAAACTCGACATGTTTACGGGAGTAGTCAAAGCTTGTTCTTCTTGCATTTTCTTCATGATACTGAAGACTTTCTTTGCAGCGTCACCCTTTCCCTTCACATTTGGAATAAGACCAAACCGCGACTGCGACGAAAGCAAACATATTTCAAATTTAGAGATGGATTCAAGCAATTGATGAAACCTGTAGGTTGTTAATTGTCAGTGCCAAATCCCACAAAGAGGTCGGGTCACCGTCGACTTGAAGCTCCTGACACCAGTGTTATCTCTAGAAACAAATTGCGAGGAATAAAACTTACTTTCAAAACAAGCTCATGCTCCAGAGACAGTACATCGTCGTCAAAGGGTATAGGAAACATCCGGTACTCGCCAAAAGTAATGCCACCGTGTACTCCTTCTGCTTCTAAAACCTGGCAATATGAACGATGCAAAACTCAGAAAAAGAAACAATGGAAGTAAAAAGTCTCACCTTCTCGCACGCTGTAGATCTTCTGGGCATGAAATACAGCGAGTACTGCCTTTCCTGTTGGTTTCGTTTATCATGTTGGATCTGAGCGGCTATAAGTTTCATCAAGGTCAAGTGAGGCCTGACAATATAAATAACGTTCGTGCAATCGGACTGAATTGGATCTCCGGAGAGATGAGATAAATTCTCCACTCCATGTTCCTGGACAAGCAAACGATGCAGAGCAATGCTGGAAAACCAACACTGATCAACTCACCTTTAAAAGAGAAATCTGGACGATAAGTGTGAGCGGTCCACTGAGCTTGGGATCCAGAACCAGGAGCTTCCTCCCCCGCATCTGGCAAAAAATCTTAGCACACACAAGGCATTCTTTTGGCAAAAACGACTTACCGAATCGAGCGCCTCGACAAGATCCAGCTGCGCTTCCTTCCTAAATTCAAGCGAGAGTGACAAGAATCTAGAAGGAGATGTGGAATAGACCTCAATCCGATGAGATTGATCGGCGCATTCTCCAGAGGAGGCAGCTGCGCCATAGCGATCGCTCGACGAAGCTCGAATAGTTTAGAACCCTAAAAACCAGTGGAAATATTCCCTAAAGCCCTAAGGAAGGGGCGATGACGCCGTTGGGATACAAGAAGAATTTCCGGGCGACGCCGGCATTGCAGCTCTTCTACACGGGAGGGCCGCTGCGTCTCGCGCCGGATGCCTCATTCCTTGCCTGCGCTTGCAACGATGAGGTCAAGATCGTCGACATCGCCACCGGCACCATTCGTAAGTCTCTGGCAGGCGATTCCGAGGCTATCACAGCATTGGCGATCAGTCCCGATGGAAATACGCTCTTCGCGGCCAGCAGGAGCTTGCAAGTGAGGATCTGGGATCTCGCCACTGGCACGCTTTGTCGATCGTGGAAGGTATTGTATTGCTAGAGCTTTGTATTTTTCTCTCGAAATTTACTGTGGTTTTTTCTAGGCACACGATGGGTCTGTGACTGACATGGACGTATCGGTGTCGGGACTTCTAGCCACAGCCAGCATTGATCGAAGCATTCGAGTGTGGGATGTGGATGGAGGATTTTGTACGCACGCGTTCCGGGGGCACAAAGGCATCGTCACAAAAGTGATTTTCCATCCGGACCCGCATCGTTTGCTGGTAAGGAAAATATCAAAGGAGAATCGACGTAATGCTTTGTTGTTTCTCCAGCTCTTTAGTTGCGGTGACGATGCCACAGTACGGGTGTGGGATCTGGTGACGAAAAAATCTGCCGCTCTTTTGGAGAAGCATTTCTCGACTGTCACCAGCTTGGCAGTTTCAGCGAATGGCTGGAGCTTGATTAGTGGTGCGAGGGATAAGGTATTTCTTTTCTCGATCAAGTTTTTAAGACAAATATGGTGTTATTGCGTGACAGGTTCTAAATATTTGGAGTCTTCGTGACTATAGCCATGAAGGAACTGTACCGGTATTTGAAGCAGTGGAAGCAATCTGTGTTGTTCCAGATGGCTGCAATCTACCAGGAAGCTCTATCCAGAAGAAGAAGGGCTCGAAGCCGAATGTGTTAACTGTTGGCGAGTTTGGAGTTATCCGTGTTTTCTCTGCCGAAGGGTTCGTATGAGGAACGATCATTAGTTTGTCTTTTATTGATTTTATTTTCGCTTCTGGTGATTGCAGTGGAAATTGCGTATACAAACAAAATTCTTCCGACGTTTCCATAGCAACAGAAGACGCAGACGAGACAAAGCGTGGGTTTACTGCGGCATATATTCTTCCAGATGCAAAAGGAGTTCTTTGCATCACGTACGATCACCGCCTTTTCTTTTACGAGCCATTTCTAGTGGACGACAAACAAAGAGATTTGCGCATTAGCAAGCGCCTTATAGGTTGCAACGATGAAATAACCGATTTGAGATATGTTGGAAGCGACGAGACTTCTCTTGCCGTGGCCAGCAACGTGGAGCAGGTAAAAGTGGAATAAGAACCGTGAGTTTTCAACAATCTGTGCTGTAGGTTCGCATATACGACTTAAGCTCCATGGCCTGCACACAAGAGCTCACCGGTCACACGGACATTGTCCTTTGTCTGGACACTTGTCTTTCATCTCAAGGAAAACCAGTGCTAGCTTCGGGTGGTAAGGACCATACGGTATGTGCTCCGAAATCTAGGAATCTAACAAAAACCGTCTATGTTGTGCTCGAAGGCGAGACTTTGGGATGTTACCTCTGGTAAATGTTTCGCGATGTGTACTGGCCACAGTGCTGCAGTCGGAGCCATTGCCTTTTCAAAAAAGAAACGCAGTTTTCTGCTGACAGGAAGCAGGTACCAGCATTGTTTAATATTGCACCGTCCATCTGATTTTCTTCCGCAGGGATCGCTCTATCAAGTTCTGGGACTTTCAGTTTGTTATAGATGACAATCAACAAGATAGAGTTGCCAAGCTTTCGTGTATCCGTTCTGCCGCTGCACATGACAAAGATATCAACTCGCTTTCTGTGGCTCCCAATGACAGCCTTCTATGCAGCGGATCTCAGGTATTCCAAATTAATCACAGTGATGCAAATGGTGACGCGTCTGCAGGACGGGACAGCTCGTATTTGGAAGCTCCCGGAACTCACTCTAGCTACGACTTTGAAAGGGCACAAACGAGGCGTCTGGTCTGTAGAGTTTTCTCCTATCGACCAGTGCGTATTAACGTCCTCCGGCGATAAAACTATACGAATATGGGCACTCTCCGACGGTTCTTGTCTAAAAACATTTGAGGGCCACACCGCCAGTGTTTTGAGAGCTTCATTTCTATCTCGCGGAACACAAATAATTTCTTCTGGTAAGTGTCGCCCTCGTTAAAAAATTTGCAACTGAACATGTCACGCTTAGGTGCGGATGGACTGGTAAAGCTATGGACTATCAAGAGTAACGAGTGCATAAACACTTTTGATCAACACAACGACAAGGTTATAAAGTAGAAAACAGCACGTCTCCGGCTACTTACGTTTTCTTCTTATGCAACCACAGATTTGGGCCTTAGCCGTGAACAGCAACAATGAATCGTTTGCTACTGGAGGGGGTGATGCATTGGTCACTTTGTGGGAGGATTGCACCGCCTCTGACGAAGAGGAAGCTGCTAGACAAGAGGTTACTCGTAAACTCTGTTGATAAGTCTCATCTTACGTTTATTACAGGCCGAGGAAGCTCTGAAAGACCAGGATTTAGCGAATGCCCTCGCGGACACGGATTATGACAAAGCGGTTCAACTGGCATTCGAACTAAGACGACCTTTTAAACTCCTTGGAGTTTTTACAGAGTTGTTCAGGTGCAGTCTCTTGACTCTTGAGAGCTGAGCTTTTAACAATTCAGTCTCGGTGCTTTTGGCAGATCTGGCACAGACGCAACACTAGCCTCGCTTTTGAAGAAACTCGACAGCGCATACCTGCGTCTACTCTTGGAATACATCCGCGAATGGAATTCGAAGCCAAAGTTTTGTTATGTTGCGCAGCATGTGTTGCACTGCGTATTCAACGTTTTTCCAGCGTCCGAAATAGTAGAGGTGAGAAGAGCAGCGTGCTAAATTTCTTGGAGCATGGTCACACGGCGTTTTGGTTGCAGGTTCCAGGGATATCGGAGCTTTTGGAAGGCATTTTACCTTATACACAACGGCATTTTAATAGGATAGGCAGGCTGGAACAAAGCTGTTACCTTGCGGACTATACGTTGGCATGCATGTCAGTGTTGGATCCCAGTGACCAATTGCCAGGACTTGCCGGAGAGATACATGCTAAGAAGAAGCAAAAGTTGTAATCCGTTGGAATTTGAAGGAAAATTTTGTTTTGTTAAATTAAAATAATTTTTACTTAATCTAATTAAATGATTTACTATTGATAATAGAAGTTTTGCCAAAGAAACACGAAATCTAGACAAAAGTAGTTGTTCCTAAGATTGCTATCCAATTCAAGAATAGAAAATGTACTACAATTATTTCTATATCAATTTTTGTTTCCTACAAACGTTTGCCCAAACTTCCAATCTTGAGGCGCAACATCATAATCGGTAATAGTGTCACCGTTGCTCGTGGTTACCATGAAAGAGAGGGACTGGCCAAGAAGAACTTCTGGCGATTGCCAATTCTGCCCCCAGTTTCTCACCAAAGGCTGCCACCTCCTGGTTCTCGATCCCATGACAGCCACAGCGTGGACATCCCCGGCTCCACCCACATTCCACACCAGCACCAGCATGAAATAGGCATGGCCATTGATAGAGAAATGAATGCCTCCTTCCTTTTCACAAGGTACCCTGTAGCACAACAAATGCAAACACGAAGTGAATGAATTTGTAGAAAACTATAGAAAACAATCTTTAGAGAAGGAGAGCTCACCTTCTGTACTGAACAGGAACAATGCCGCCTCTGTACTTGGCAATCAGCTCAAATGCAGGCTGTGAGAGATCAAAGTGCTCGCGCGGGGGATTACACCAGCCTCCATCGTCGCTTGGGAGAGCAAAGTTTGGAGGGCAAAAGTTTGTGGCCGTGACCACGATGGATGGGTTGCCGGGCAAGCACCATTCCGGGTCGGCCTCGGCATTGCATTTCAATTCGAAGCAAGAGCCGCACGACCAGCCTTCGTTGAACAGGGGAGTACTCAGTGCTGCAGTGCTTACCCCATAGCCTTGGAGGTAGAGGTTCCCATATCCACAAGCTCCTCCTGAATTTACAAGATCATTGCATTGAGGCAAACATGCCAGTTAGAATGGGTTGTTTTTCTTTTTTTCTTGCTAAATGATTGTACCCATGGTTCCAGAGGCATCACTTCCTCCATAAAAGGTTGCGTGAGCATCTTGCCATGATCCATAATCTTGAGCTCCAACTTCAGGACTCAAAAACAGCACCACAACGGTTGCTGCAAAAAGAAATGGGAGATCCATTCTTTTGCTAGTAGAAATCTTGTGACAAAGAAAAGAGAAAAGAAGAAAATCTAATATGGTGATCAAGTCTAGCCCTGAGCTCTCTTTAAATACAGAACCTCAGACTTTGGAGTAACTCTTTCCTCAACAGTAAGACAGTTATTTGTCATTGGAGATCAGGTCCCATGGTGCGACGCTCTCGATGTTATGCACACTTTGGAATCAGCAGAGATTCACACTAACCTCGAAAGAGTGGAGGAACCTTTAGAAAACTTTTCGCCACCTTTGACTTCGACGCACGCTAGGCTTTGGTTCGAAGGGTTCAACTATTTCGCTTTGATCACCAAGTGCGGGCAGGATATGCTCCACAGGTTCATACATTATCAGCTTCTCCTTACATGTACAATCGTTGATTCTCATTGTCAACTTGAGCTCTTTGTCAGAACTCTGATTTTCTTGTCAACTCAAGAAACCTCTCTTATTGAAAGGAACTTCTCTTTCCGAAAAGATTATTCCCTATGCTTACCATAATCGAAACAAAAGCCGTATAGCTCGTATCACAGGCACACACACAAAAGTCATGAATCGACAAAAGGTACTATTACAATATCTCCAAAAGAACAAATAAGTTACTCGCAAACTCGGGGGCTAACGGAACAGCAAATCTGTCAATCCTCGATCTCCCACAAACCAACGCAATTTCATCCAGTCCTGTGGAGAAAAGTATGAGGAATCTCTCCAATCCAGAAAACTGGGGATGCAATTTGTAGTAGAGAGCAAGCAAATCAAACAAATTCGCTCACCAGTTGCAATCCAAACGAAGGCTGTGGCGCGGAGGTGCAGCCGAATTTTCGTCCACAAGTCTAGGCAGGCTGAAATTAAACGCTTGGGCTCGCCATAGCCACAAGTACACGCCACCTTTCTCTCCCTTCCTGAAGTGTAGGTGGTCCCCGTCTCGATTCCAGCTGATACCGTATCAAAAAGAAGCGCAACACGGCACTCATTGTCATTGTCCGTCAAGTTCTGGATGTTTTCAATGCGATTTGGATGCCTGCTTCTCTCTCTCTCTCTCCTCGGTTCAAAAACCCGTTTTTTTCTTGGTTTCTTACAATCGATCTCCCGATCGCGATTAGATCAGTCCTGTTCCTTACCAATTCTCTGGAGATTCAGCAAAGGGGATCCGATGCATCGCTTTGTTTTCTTAAACAGTCCATCACACAAGAGTGGTGCTCTCACCAAAGTTTTACTTTACAAACACCAACAACCTTTGGACCATTTTCTACACATTTGAAGAAGAATTTCTCTTCTTCTTAAGCTTAAAGCCAACACTGTAGATCAAGATTAGCACATCACATCAAAAGAAGACATTTTTCTTTTTTCTTTTTCTCAAGCACTAGAAGAAGAAAACTTAAATTAATTGGCACGATGTGGAACAGAGAGATCGATGATCTCTCCCTCCTAGGAAATCGAAACAAGAGTGCTCAACGATCTCCGAGATAGCTAGATCCAAGAGAACAACGAAGATAAAAACACAAACACTGTAAGAGACTGTGGACCTTCCAGCCTGATCGATCGTAGGAGCTCTCTTTTCTTCTAGTCCCTCACACGCACTCACTCACTCTCTCTCTCTCTCTCTCTCTCTCTCTCTCGGAGATGGTTTTTCTTGGATGATCATGTACTATAAGGTAGATACCTCATGAAAGCTTCTCTATCGCCACACGAAGGCGCCAATGGCGTAGTCCCTCTTGTCCTGGAGGCTGCCAGAGACAGGCAGGCCATACTCCTCGAGCAAGCGATCCAATTGCCACTCGGGCATGGCCTCATACTCGAGCTTGGTGTAGCGCGGGTAATGCAGCGGCATCTGGAACACATAAGGGCAAGAGGGATTCTTCTCCACCGCCGAGTAGGGGCATTTCTTGGGGCTGGGCGGCGCCTGATCCACGGCCGCCGCCAGGAGATCCTCGCTGCTGCTGCTGTTCCTGCGATTGAGCGAGAAGACGCGCTGGAGGAGGTGCGTGACCAGGCGCCGGGTGCGCGGCGACGCCACCGGCTGATCGGAGGGATCGTCCACCACCACTGCCGGTGCCGCTGCTGCTGGTGCCGTGACGCTCGCAGCTGGATCCAGGACCTCCATCGTTCGATCGAGCGCTCCCTCTTCTCTCTCTCTTTTCCTAGCTAGGGTTCTAACGGGGGAGAGGAGAACGAAGAAGAGGAGCCGCGAGAACGAGCGAAGAAGAGCACACACGCTCTTAACAATGTAGCAAGGTATATCCTTTACACGGAATCTTCGAGGCACATTTCGTCAGCTAACGGAGACCTGGCGGTATATTCAGCGGATTGACGGTGTCTGCGATGGAATGTTTTTATGAAACGGACCAATGCAAGCCTTCTGATGACAAATGGCAAGTGTGGACACAGTAAACAAGCAAAACAAATGAATTTGGAAGGATAAAGCAAGGCATAGGCCACATACACAAATGACCCCTGCTATAGGACAGTTTTTACTTTTTTTTTTGTGTGGATAGGTTTGCACCTGCCCCATTTGAAATCGCCATTGGATCGATTTGAAAATCCGGCCGTTTTAGGGGTTTGATTGATGAGAGGCCTGCCAATTTCAACACGCAAACATTGCCACCGCCTCCCTGGGTCATGTGCTACCCAGGGAGGGTCTCTCTTATTCTAATCTCTTTCTTTGCCTTCTAGAAAGATAGGACGATTTTTCTCAAGGTCGGTTGCCGGTTTTGCTTGTTTTAATCATTGTGAGGTTCCTTGCTGTTTGTTTATTTTGTTACAAGTTTCTTACATCGTCCAGATGCCTTGCAGTGCTTGCAGTTGTGTGTCACACACAGACTCTGAACAGACCAAACTACCAAGTACCACATCTTGCAATGCATGTTGGCATTTTGAAGTTGATAGGTTATAACTTTAGTGGCCTACTCACTTACTTGAATTCGAGGTCAGATCAGGTCCATGTCAAGTTTCGACGGGTGCACAGCTCTTCAACCTCTAGCTGCCCTAGGCTCAGAATGTATTCGTTGAGTTGAAAACGTCTATATCTAACCATGAATGAGAAATTTTGAGTTTAATTTCCACTATGAGCTTTTTCTGAGGATTCAACAAAATCCATTAGAAATTATTCTTTTTTTCTAGAATTCTAGTTTCTTATGAACTAGATCAGTATTAAAATTATTAGAAAAATTTAAATTCTTTTATTAAAGTTTTAACTATTCTTTCCCTTAATTTAGAAAAGATGATTCATAAACATTTTCAATTAGTATAGAACACTCATAAAAGCTTATATTAATATATAAATATGTGAATATTTTAATATCACTTTAGAATTTAAATTTAAATTATTTTTTATTTAAACAAAGTTTTCTAGATAGAAGTATTGTGAGTGCATGAAATATAGAAATATGCATTAATTAGCAAAAAAACTTAGCTTATATATAAAAGTGAGTGGTCCAAATTGAAACCAATCCAACAGCTATCAAAATCCCACTACACTAATATTAATATATGGAAACATAGCCATACACTTGGACATTATAATATATAATATTATAAGGAATAAATGGTAAAGTTTTGAGAGGTTTACCATAAAAATATTAGAATGAAGTGTGGTAAGTAAATATAAAGCATAATTACCAAATGAAAGTTTTCTATATTCTTACAAATTTCCTTTAGTACATTTGATCATTTGATTTTACATAAAGTTTTATCAAGTTCACATAAGTGTTTATTATACTCATGGTAAACTTTAAAATCATGTATATATATATATATATATATATATATATATATATATATTTATATGCTTGTGTGTGTGTGTGTGTATGTGTGTTTAAAGATTGATATTAAATGAATTTCTTCAGTTCTTTTTTATTTTTATTTCTTTTCTTTTCTTTTTATGTGTATGATTTTTTATTATTATATAATGGTATCAAAAGGAAACCAAAAATAAAAAACTTAAAATTATTAGAAGAAACTTACATATAAGATTGTGAACTAAAAAAGCTTCAAACCTGATTCATTAAATAAAAACTACTGTAATATATTAGTAATTACTTAAAAATAAGGAGAATAACAAATAAAATACTCAAAACTAAAAGCTTAATAATTGAATAAAAAGGAGTTTGGAAGGATGGAAAATAGCTAGGGTTCTTTGGTGGATGGATTAGACTCTAGAGGAATATCAAGAGTAGGCAATAGTGGATCTATAGGTGGTATTAATTGTTCTTAATCCCTTTGGATGAATAATTTCAACCATTACACATACACAATTTCTGTAGGATTGGCCTATGCTAAATCTTGTAAAATTACTATCTAATTTGCTACAACACCTAATATAGTCCCTTCTTGAGTAAGGAGCCCCTTAGACAAACCATATGTCATAAGATTGGGAAAAGAAACTAACTTCAAATCATCTATTTGGTACTTTGTATGTGAATGATGATAAGAGTTGTAATGTTATTATTGTCCCACTTATATGTAGCCTAAGTGTTCAATAAACTCCACTTAGATAAGTGGAAGAATGTTTGTCAGATACTAATCTTAGGACTTAACATCAACAACTTGTGTTGTAAATGTAAATTCAACTCCATGAGTAATATTGGATTATGACCATATAGGAATTTATATGGTGAAGCACCAACATAATTTTATACATCTATGATATATACACATTAAAGAGATGATAAATAACCATCTTAATTTGAAATGCTAAAAGTTTATATACTTCATGATCATCTCTTTAAAAGCCCAGTTGAACCATTCCACTAAACCATCTATTTATAGAAGATAAACATTTGTGAAAGTGTGGTATATCTTTAGTCGAGACATTAAAATGTGAAATGCCTCAGCCATAAATACAAGACTATTATTTGAGAAAATCTATTTTAAATAAAAATACTAGAACACCACTTGATTGAGAAGGAAGTATAAAACAATAATTGCAAATGCTACAAAGAGCATTGACTTTCACTCAGCAAGTTAAGTAGTCATAAACAATAATGACATAATTATTGTTAATAGATGATTATGGAAAAAGCACCATCAAATTAAATGCCACAAACTTAAATAAATAGGAAATTACAACTGACTCCACTTGTCCTTTTGCAACACGAGAGGGAGTATTATGAGCTTGGCACTAAAAGCAACTATGCATATATTAGATAACATCATCTCTAGCTAATAGAAAGAGTTATACAACTTCTCAATCACACAATAATATCCCATATGCTTGTCTAAAATAAAAGAATCTTGGTAGGCATGGAAAAAGAATGGAATAAAGATTATAAGCACCACCAATTATAAATAATCATCAAGATCTATCCCCACAAAATAAAGAAAGTCATCTTTAAAATGATATTGACATATGGAGTGTTAGACCAAGTGCAAAGGCCAAGTGGTATAGAGGCCATTCATGGGGCTAACATATCTTTAAATCGGAAATAAAATTTATAAAGGTTGTGAGTGAAATTTTTCTAAGTGGTCAAAGGAATGAAAAATAAATCACTTACAAATTAGTATCAAAGCTATTCCTTAGTTTAACTCTTATTGATCATTATTACTATCACTATTTGACATTGATATATAATGGTCCCAAGAGTGGGGTGATACTCAAGGAGTTGCATGTCAGGAGGGCATGGCTCTCCACTTTAATTCACACATGAACTTATATGCAATGTGGTGGATAGAAAGGGGCCATTAAGGGAATTACTTTAGGACCTTGGGAACAATAAAAAAATTTACTCAAAAAGTTGAGGATACAATTTATATAAGTATTTAACTTAGCAAACTAGTTAATATGGTTGTGGTAAATAACTATAGTTTAGATCATGGAAAGGATCTCCAAAATAATAAAGGGGTTGCAAAATTATCCTTATATAATTAAGGATGGTCCTTATAAATTTAAAATTATAGTTAATGACTATGAGAGGTAAAATATAGATGAGGATATATATCCTTTGAAATGATAGTTAAGGCTATCTTTAATAAAAGCTAAAGGAGTGAGAGGGTATATTCAAAGGATGAGTTGGTGTTCTCATCATATAAAATGATAGTTCTAAGAGGCAAAAGTATTTAAATGTGGTGGCACATCAAAAATAGCCATGGGGTTAAGACTTTATAGAATGTTAAATTAATAAAGTCTAAAAAGCTAGATGACTCAGTGAAGTCAAGAAATGGTCCCAAAAGTTTAGAGGAAACATATTTGGATAAAAATATGTTGTACCTAGTGAATATGAGAATAGTGGGTAACTCATTAATGGTAGAAAGTGCCATATTAAAGTTGTGGAAAGGTGCTTATAAAAGAAAGCAACTTTGGCAAAGAATTATGTGTAAACACTATGTTGTAGTGCTAATTGATAGTTGGTATAAGAAATAATTACTATTGTTTTAGCAAAACTTAGACATAAGTAGGAAGTGTTATGAAGGTAGGCTCATGAGCTAATAGTCTGGAGACACTAAATGTCTCAAAAGATGATGCTTTGAGGTCAAGGTGGTTGGTTCATGAACCCTAATGAAAATGGAATTCATATATCCTAAGCTAGTAGGCATATGATTCATGTGATTGTACTAAATATTGATGGAGGTGTGGAATGAGTTGTAGGACATGATGACTATAAGGCAGCTAAATAAAGGTTTAGAATAATTAGAGTTAACTTCTTGTGACCTCTTGGTAAGATAAAAAGGAGGTCAGATACATCCTTTAAGAACCCAATCTCGATAGCTATGGACTTTTAGCTGGAAGGGTTAGTTTGAGCACAACACCAAGTGTGGGGGATGCCTATAAGGTCATAGTCAACAATTTAAAGGTTTGGTAGATTTAATACTTATTAATAAACATATTAATGTATCAACGTGAGATCACTAGGTGATCCTATGTCTAAACAAGGATAAGCTAAAGGATAAGTTTCTTAATTCAAAGTGTATACATTAGTATTATGAGTCCAAGAAAATAGTCTTTAAAAAAGGACTTATAGGAGGGTTGTAAGGTTGGGCTATGAATAGAGCCCATAATAAGAAATATTAAAGAAACTTACTAAAGATGAATACTCTATGAATTTAGTAAACTAGAGCATTTGCTATGGAATAAAAAAAATACCTCAAGGATGGAAGTAGTGATCCTATGTTACTTGGTACAATAATTAAAGTATAGGAAGATAGAAGTAAAAAACTAATAATTAAAAATGAGTTTTGGAAATTGCTGGAAGAAATCCAAATGATAAATTAAGTGAGAAATTACTATATAAGGGATAACGATTTGTGGGAAAGGAAATATATTCTAATGATAAGATTACCAAATGTTTCAATTTAGTAAAGGTGAAAGCTCTAAGAGATAAAGTGGCAATGTAGCCAAATGATCGAGCAAGGATAGCCCCAACACAAATTATGGATAAATTGAACTTAATATTTATGATGGTATAAAATAAAAGAG